TGCTGACTCCTAGGGCTGCGTTGCAGTTACACGGGAGAATATCCTTGTTTGCAGGCAATACACACTGAAGTATCTGGGAGTTGTAGGGATATCACGTTGGCAATTCACTCTCAAATGATTCAGGGGGGGAAACTGGCTGTGTACTATCACTGCAACCTTTCTGTACGAGCGAGATCATTTCAAAATAAAATAAAATTCTATATCTCTAGGGGTAAAAACCCTTATCCTGTTGTTGAAACACAATGACCGTTGAAGTTGCCTAGTGTGATAACAGCCCTTGGGATTAATCTTCCACAGCAGATATATGGAGGAACATTCTGGAAGCAGTGCTGTTCATGCCCTAGTGTGCTCAGAGCTCCCACACAGACGAGAGCCTTCTGAGTTTGCAGCCAAAGCACTTGAGGGTGGTCCCTCTTTTCTCTAGCCATTGAATACAGGTTTAGGTGAAAAAGAGAAGGGAGAAAAAGCATTTTGGTTTTATCCATGCAAAGGGACAAGCTGAGAAAAGAATTAGAATCCATGTCAAGTTCATCGCATCTTGGTAGAAACAGGAATCAGCCTGATGTAATAAAAGCATGATTAATATCATTAAATCATTAAATGATTAGTATCATTTAATCTCTAAGGAAGAAGGCCTAAATAGTATTTAGTATAAACATTGTAGATCCTTAAAATTAAATTCAAAGACAAGAAACTGATATCCTGAGAAGTAAGGGATATCATTGCAGTGGGGAAGCCAGGGCTCAAGGCCATGTCTGGCATCCCATGACCCTCTCACTGCACGTCTGTGCTCTCTCTACAACACGATGTGGCTTTCTCCAAAAATACGAAACAGAAACGATATTCTGCTCTCCAAGAAATAGAATGCCCAGGCAAAACTGAGGCTGCCAGGAACTGATCAGAGTTTGATTGAGAATCCATTTTCTTTTCATCTTTTTTTTAAATTTCTAGGAGAGAGAGAGAGTGAGACAGCGTGAGCAGGGGAGGGTCAGAGAGAGAGGGAGTCACAGACCGAAGCAGGCTCCAGGCTCTGAGCTGGCAGTCAGCACAGAGCCCGACGCGGGGCTCGAACCCACCAACCGCGAGATCATGACCTAAGCGAAAGTCGGACGCTTAACCGACTAAGCCACCCAGGCGCCCCTTCTTTTCATCTTTTACCCCCGCCCCCCCAAATCCCCGAAGGTGTAGGATTGGTAGTTGAATGGTCTTCTAAGATATGCTCCCTAACACAGCCAGGCATATTTTCTTAATCCCTCTCTGCTCACTCTGTATCAGTAGTGTCATTGATTCTAACCCCCAAGCCACCATTTTGTAAGTGGGCGCAGTGAGCTACTGGTGGCCTAATAAAATTCATTCAGTATCTACACTGCTTCTCCCACAAAGTTCAACACGTTCACTGAAATATGAAAATAATCTTCTTGCTTTTCCTGGGTCTTCCAAATGCGATACTTTTGAGTTTAGCCAAGGAGTCAGGAAGGACAGTTGGAACCAGAAAACTAAATAGTATCAATTACTAATATTTCCCATTCTCTGCTAAGGCTGTCTTATCTGAAGCTTATAAAGTCGTTTAATCTTTTCCATCATCTCAGGGAAAAGAAAGCCTGGAAAATCCTAGTCATTCCACAGTAACTATCAGTGGGATTTTCCATAACTATCTGGATGCAAAATAAAAATCTTAAGAAGTTGATCCAATTCTAAAACTTACTTCTCAACTTACTAATAAATATGAAGAGACAACCCATCCATTTTTTCTTCAAATAACATCTGGTTTCTTGGCCGGACTGCTATACCTGAAAAAGCTTCTGAGTTTATTCCAGCAAATCTACATTTAAAGAGCTTAAAAATGCATTTATGCACTTAAACATTCTTTCCTACATCTGACTTAAGGCCTGAGATGGGACTGTGAGACAGGAACTTGCCAGGAAACTGGGAAGATGGGGAATAAAACTGCCTTCTAAAAACTAAACTGTGAGATCAACAACTGATAGGCCAGGACAAAGGCATGAGAAATCACTGCATGGGGGGGGACAAAACCCTCTCGGTGCAAGACTTGGCTGAGACCAACCAACTAACGACAGAACACATGCACATAAAGGCTATAGTAATCGATCATGGAGTCATGGATGAGGAAAGGTTGCTGAGACAGCCTGAACAGTACTCGCCAGAGTGGAGGGAGTCTGGCCCAGCAGGGCTGGGGTAGCACAGAACCATTCTTGACGAGACCTGTGTCTGATGAAAATGAACGCATCACTTCATCGCAGCCCCATTACCCCGGGCCGGCCTGTCTTGTTCGTGATGGAAAGCTCAACGCTGCACGTACGGCCTGGCCGAGAGCAGGCGATCATTAGATTCAGTGACTCTGCTCCAACTTTTTGCTCACAACCTCCTGATTATAATTTGGCTCGCCTACAGGGAGAGAATGACCTAGTCTTGTGGATCTGAGCATCCTGGCCCCCGTGCCAGCCACAGCACTCGCTGAAACATACGTTGTAGCTGGGAAGCCTCTTGCTGTGAGTCACCTCCCAAAGGAAGGGCTCTGGAAGGTCCAGAGGGTCAAGCTGCTGAGCCCACAGGCTGGCAGCGAGTCTCTGGGCCCAGGTCAGTTTACCAGGATGGTGACAGTGATACTGGTGTCGGAGACGGCCGAAGCCACGCACTGAGCAGGGACTACGTGTCAGACACCGCACCACGTGCTCTACATCCTGGAACTGGGTGAAACCCCACGGCAATCCAATACATTAGGCACCATGAGTATTCCCATTTTGTGAATGAGGAAACTGAGGCTCAGAAAGCTTTAGTAATCTCCCCAACGACCCACATCAGGATGCCTGCACTCAGACCCAGACTTACCCAACTCTAAAGCTTAATCTCTTCCCTTGTGAGAATACGGCGTCTGGGGGAACGGAGCCTGACCCTTCTCCTGGCCACACCCCTCTGCTCAGCAGTGTGCTCTGGGCCATTCCGGTCCGTCTGCGACATGACCGTCCGTCGGTACGCCAGCCTCCCCATCAGGGCACTAAAGGCTAGCAATTTCTCCCCGGTCAGAAGCGCGCAAAGCCAACCGTATCTCAGTGAACAGCGCCAGTATCTCCTTCACGCCATCAGAAGCCCAAAATGGCCACCTCTCCTTGACTCTTCCCTCTCCTCACCTCCTCTTGTCGGTAAACCCCCTCCATGCGTCCCTAATGAGTCTGCTTCTCACCACCTCCACGGCGGTTACCCATCTTACACCTGGACCCCGACAAAAGTCCCCCAGATCAGGTGTTTGCTTCCACCCCTGCCCTCCTTTGCTGGAAACCATACACCCAGTGATCAGCCCGTAATGCAATCATGACATTCCGCTGTTTGAAAATCCTTCAGTGAGTCCCAACCTCTCCACATCCTCCGTCTTCAGGCCTAACAGTGACTGGTCTGCAGTCCTTGGTACACACGCAGCCTGTCTGCTCCAGAATGTGCTGGAATACACCCGCAGCCCCACCCCAGCCCCAGCAGTCTTCCCTCCTCAGGTCACTGGTGCAGGGGCTTTGAGCCTCACGCACGCGTCAGCTCCTGCATGGAGCCTGGGTTAGTGGCCCGTCGAAAGTGCACCCGTTACACTCAGCACATCCTTCATCTCACCGAGTGGGAATTTTCCTTCATGTAGCTCTGCTCCCAGACCGGGACCTCCCCAAGGCCCAGGACCCACTCTGTTTGAACAAAGTGCTTGCCATGGAAACAATGCACGAAGAATGAATGAGAGCCCGGTAATATAGCACAGGTACCGGAAAGCACCCAGCTTCCTGGAGTCCCAGCTGAGTGGTCCTGAAAAAAAACTGTTGAATCTCCCTGGACCTCAGATTCTCGGTCTATAAAACCAAGATCATTAAGTTTCCGCTGTTAAACGGTTGTAAGATTGTCACGTAATACTGGAAAGCCCTCAGCACAATGCCAGGTATAAAATAAGCACACAAACATTGGTTGTTGTTACTATGTCCTTTGAGACGGAGCCACGGTGTTCTTTAAAGGCCTCAGAGATATTTCCAGGCCCCTGTGATGACTCGATGACTCGGCTGCTCCAGATGTCCTCAGGCCTCACGTTTTACCTTTCCACACGCATTAGCTTCCATCCTCGAACATACGGCTTTGAAAGCTTCTGTTCCTTCAGTACTTTCTTCAAGACACCTAACTCCTCAACAGACGCTTTTAGGTGAAATAACATCATTTGCCCCCGATCTTACAGCTCCCTGGGGCCTTCAACCATGGGCTCACATGCCACCTCCTTATGCAAATGCCGCAGAGGGGCCCGCGTAACCCGCCCACACGCACAGGGACGTCACAGGGAGCGGACAGGTGGTGACCCCGAAACAGAAATCAGGCCTCAAAGGGGGCAGGAGGAAGCGGAGGTCTCAGGAAGAGGAGGGCCATTGTCGCAGCGGACATGGGAAGGTGAAGCGTGAGGCCAGGAACAACATGGCCTCCCTCCTGCGTGGAATACTGTGCAGCTACTAAAAATAGCTCAGGGTCCAGTCAATAAAATGGCAAATAAGAACGCATTAAGAGGTGGTGTGTGCAAAGAAAGATCATGACTTCTGATCACAGTGTGTCTAACTTGCTTTAAAAATTTTTAAGGAAGTTGGCCCAAAGGTCCACAGCTGTAACCGGGAGGTGATATTTTCCTTGACTCCCCACACCTTTTGCAGGGTCGCCCCGCGCTTTTCAAATGCAACCAGAATTCTTCGCAGAAACACCCTCCGCGCGCCTGCCTCGCAGACGGCTCCGGGAAGAGGGGGCGCGGCGCAAACCACACGCCCGGGGCCGCGGGGGCTCCGAGGGCCTGACGCAGCAGCGTGGGCACCGGGGCGGACCTGGGCACCGGCCCCGCCGCCGCCCGCGCCTTCTGCACCGGCCCCCGCCCAGCCCCCCGACCCGGCCGCCAGCGCCGCCGAGCGTCTCCTCGGCCCAGCGGCCGCCACCCCAGGGCCGCCGCGACCTCGCCGCCCGCCCGCCCGCGGCCCCGGTACCTCTTGCAGGGGATCAGCGCCTTGCGTTCGTCCAGCACCCGCACGCGCCGGTTGAGCCCGTCGTAGGAGAGGAGGGCGCGGCTGGTGCGCCCGGTGCTCTGCCGGTACCCAACCTGGCGGCCCTCCCACTGCTGCGGCGCCTGGCACGGGCGCGGGGTCCCCGGCGCGCCCCCGGCCCCCGCCCCCGGCGCCGCCGCCCCCAGGCCGCAGAGGCCGCCCAGCGCGCAGACCCAGAGGCCGCGCAGCAGCCAGGCGCCCAGGGCCCCGCGGAGCCGAGCGCGCCCCGGCATGGCGGTCCGCCGCCCCACGAGAGCCCTAGGGAGACGCAGGGGGCGCCGGGCAGGGGGCGCGGGGGAGGGGGCGCCGCGCACGGGGCGCCGGGCAGGGGGCGCCGCGTGCGGCTGCTTCCCCGCTGCGCTCAGGGCGCGCGCGGTGCGGGGGGGCCGGGGCCGCGGCCGGGAAGCTCCGGTGAGCGGCGGGAGCTGCTGCTGCCCGGGCCGCTGCCCGCTGCGGCTTCTGTCTTCGCTTTGCTCTCTGCTGCCAACAGGAAATGCAGTGGCAGCGGTGCCACTAGCACCCTGCAGGGCATCCGCGTGTTAAAGGGGGGGACGGGGTGGGGGGCAGGACGGGGAGAAGGAATCCGTTTTCGCCAGTAACCGGAGGGGCCGCAGATAACCACGAAACTAGGAGATAAGTTCATGTTCAAGGTCAGTGCCGCTGCACTTGCCGGGCCCCGCACCCCTTGCCTCTTTATCAGAAGTGGCACCTTCTTCCTCCAAATAGAAATAGAAAGGTCCCTTCCTGAAGAAATGATATCAGTCATTATCATGGCCATTTTCAAGCCACCACTCTTAGTACAGAGCCCAGGGGACTAGGGGATAAGCCCTTGCCCTTGGGCATAGGACTCAGGGACATTGCCTTCAGGCTTCACTTGCAGTGAGACTGCTACCCTCACCCAACACCTGACTACACCACAAGCCTAGAGGTGTGTGAGTCTGGGAGTTTAGCATCAAGAACAAGGTTAATTGGGTTTAAGTTTTATGTTTTGATTTTCTTTTCTTTTTTTTTTTTTTTTTTTTTAAGGTAGGCTCCACACCCAGCACAGAGCCCATCGGGGAGCACTTCTGAGAGCTGACGCTCACAATTCTGACATCAAGACCCTGAGCGGAGACAAAGAGTCAGACACTTAACCAACTGAGTCACTCGGGTGCCCCTGTTTTGTAATATCAGGATGTACCATATGGAATCAAGAAGAAAAAGAAGCAACATTAAAATATAAAATAAAAAGACCCTTGCTTTCCAAGTTTATAGCGTCTTTTCCGCTGATCTGTGCTTCAAGGATGAGGAAGTGAGCCAGGTGACGTGAGAGAGAACATTCCTGAGCGAAGGACAAGGGGACAAGAGAAAATGGGTGGAGGGCTGGAGTTTAAGGGGAGTGATTTGGAGCCAGATCCCTCAGGGCCTTGAAACCAGGGAGAAGCGCCATCCGGTGTGAGCCTTAGGAAGCTCACACAGGCCTGAGTGTGGAGGATGGGCAGGGAGAAGCAGGTGGGAGAAGCTGCTAGAATCCAAATGAGAGACGCCCACGTCTGAACTAGAGCCGAGGCAGGCAGAGAGTGAACGGAGATGGGAGCTACAGAGAAGGGGGAAGTGCTTTCAGGTTGGGGCCACTGGGAGCTCAGTCCTGGATGGGGAAGGAAGCCAAGTCAGTTCAGGATTGGCTGACTGCGAGATGCCTGCGGGGCAGGCAGGTAGAAATACCCCCGGGGGACCGTTGGATAGGCGCTTCCAGAAACCAGCGGGGCTACAGGTCGGGTGTCAGAAGCGATTGGCATCTAGGTGGTAACTGAAGCCAAGAGTAGAGCAGTGGTGGCAGGGGCGGGGGAAGGGGCCACGTGGGCAGTATCTGGAGACAGTTTTGATTGTCATACGGGGTGGGGCCGAGCCTCCACTGGCATCTAGTAGGAGGAGGCCAGAGAGGCCACTAAACTTCCCAGAATGCACAGGACCCAGGAAAGAATTACCTGACCTCAGCATCAGCAGTGCGGAGGTCCAGAAACCCTGCAGACGGGGTGTGGGGGGAGCAGGAAGAGAATGGGCCCGGAGCCCTAGCAGGGAAGCAGCCCTTTAAGGAGGCTGAAAAGGAACCACCAGAGAGAAGCCACTGACCAGGGGGGCTTCCTCAGTTACGTGAGCTATGGGCAAAGGACCGTCAGGTACAGGGTGGTGGATTAAGTGCTAAGGCGGGGCCAGAGTACGGAGGCCGGAGACACAGTCTCCCAACGAATCCTTCACTGCTGCCCCTCCCCAAGTGGAAACACTACAGCCCGGCTGCCAGGGGGCCCCCCGAGGAGGCCAAAGGGCTCTAGAGAAAAGGCCTCTTACCTTCTCAGCCTTTCTTAAAAGGCCATGGAGAAGTCAGGGAAATAAATGCCTGCAGTGCTGGGACTTGGTACTTGCGGTTAAACAGAGGCAGCAGGCTCCGACTGGCGACACATTTGCCTCTTCAAGCAACTCTCGGCAAAAGGGTCAGGAGTTCAGCCGCTTCTCAAAATCGTATTTTCTTCCCTTGTAGGAATTTGGGCTGCAAATATTTTTCACTAAGCCAGGGGGGTTTGACTCATTGGATTCTACTGCTGGGAATGGCTTAAGATGTCGTCTGGGTTATTCCCTGTGCTTGATACTTCGCGGGCCTGGTCTGGCATCTTGGGAGCTTGGGTCCTGTCCTCGCTGAAACTAGCATACCTCTCGAGGTGGGTGACGCTGCCCTTGGACGCTCTGGGCTTCCCCTAAATAGAGCCTGGCTCCTTGGATGAATCTGGAAATAATATGTGTGTCATTTGTCCTGTTAACTTGCCATGTTTAATTCATGTGCCCTAAAAAAAATAATAAGATGGTTCATTTAAAGTGCTTAGCCCCACACCTCACCCGTTGTAAATGCTCAGTAAAATGCCAGCCGTAGTTTCTGTTCATTTTATTTTTTAATCGTGGTCAGAGTCAAACTAAACTATCGTTGTGGGTCACAAGGTGACCACAGCCAAGCTGTGACCAAGCTAAGCTTTGGAGACAAACAAAAGCAAAAAGCAATTACCTGCTGTCTGTTCAGGTTTCTAATTAGACTATGTTTTTAAAGATTAACATTCAGAAACCATGTTTTCATATTCTAACGTCCCACGAAAGCATCACATACCAGAAATCTTACTGCATGGAGATTAGTGTACTTGCAACAGCAAGGCCTGCGTCTTCAGCGCAGACCTTAGCCAGCGGTTGGTTTTATTGCCTCTTCCTAATAAGAAGAGAAAAGAGAAAACAAAATGTACACACTTGCTTTCCATGGCACGCAGGGTCTCGCTCAACTCAAATACTTTGCAAGCACATCAAAAACTCAAGAGTTTAGGCTGCTGCTGGGTTGGAAATGACTTCGGGCCTGAAGGGGGAAAAGTTTCTTTTTCAGGTTGTCGTGTCCGCTACTCACAGGTGTTCACGCTGGAGGGAGAGCCGGGAGTGAGAGGGCGGAGGGGACGTCGGCGGATGGGACCCTGTCTAGGCGGGAGACGCCGTTGCCGCGCCCCAGGCAGCTGCGTTCCCGGAGCAGGTCCAGGCCACCGCCACTCCGAGCCCAGCTCACGCGTCTGGACCCAGCGGTAACCCCGACTCCGCGCAACCCGGGGCGTCTGCGTCCGGTCCCACGGGACTGTCCCTCTCGCTTCTCACGCCCCCTCCTGGAGGAAGCAAGCGTGCTACGAATTAAGGGGCGGCCGAGGCTCCCCCTTCCCTCCACCCGCCTCTGTCTACACTCGGGGAGCCTCTCCGGCACAGGGCGCAGAGTCCAGCTTGGGCGCCATGGCGCGTCCCTCCCTCTCCCGGGATGCTCCCCCGCGCGCCCTTGGGTCCGGCGTCGGAACGGCTGCCGCGGCGCTCGCTGTCGGGGCGGAGGGAAGGGACTGGCCCGACTAGAAAGGAAGGGGCTTTGGGGCCGCGGCCCGCAGGGGTGACGTCACCGCCCGGCGGGGGGGGGGCGGGGGGCGCGTCGGGCGCCCGCGTCCGGGGAGGTGCCGGCATAAATAGGGCCCCGCAATGGCCGGGGCCGGCCGCGCCGCGAGCTGCGGGGCCCAGGACGGGAGCTGCCCGGCGGCCCCCGCGCCCCCGCAGGCCGAGCGCCGGACGCCGGACGCGCCTCTCCGGGCCCCGCGGGCCCCCCTCCCCGGGGAAGGCGGGAAGCCGCGGCGGCGCCATGCTGCTCCCCGTGCTGGCGGCGCTGAGCCTGGGGCTGCGCCCGGCGCTGGGCGTGCGCGGCGCGCCCTGCGAGCCGGTGCGCATCCCCATGTGCCGCCACATGCCCTGGAACCTGACGCGGATGCCCAACCACCTGCACCACAGCACGCAGGAGAACGCCGTGCTGGCCATCGAGCAGTACGAGGAGCTGGTGGGCGCCAACTGCAGCGCCGTGCTGCGCTTCTTCCTGTGCGCCATGTACGCGCCCATCTGCGCGCTGGAGTTCCTGCACGACCCGGTGCGGCCGTGCCGCTCTGTGTGCCAGCGCGCGCGCGCCGGCTGCGAGCCCCTGGTGCGCGCCTACAACCACAGCTGGCCCGACAGCCTGGCCTGCGACGAGCTGCCCGTCTACGACCGCGGCGTGTGCATCTCGCCGGAGGCCATCGTCACCGACCTCCCCGACGGTGAGCGGGGCCGCGGGGCGCGGGGCCGGGGGGCGCGGGGCCGGGGGGGGGGGGCGCTCCCGGCCGCCGCCCCCGCCTGACACCCCGCGCGGCGGCCCCGCCACGGACGCCCGCGGGCGGTGCCCCCCAGCTCGCTCCGGAGGACCGGGGGAGGCGGGAAGGGCCGGCCACCCGCCGTGCGTAAAAGTCTCCTCTCCCCGCAGAAAGTTGGGGAGCTGAAGAACGCCTCATCCCGTAGAGGACGTGTGTGGGTCGCGGGGCGCTTCTAACGACACACGTTGACCTTGACAATGTAGAGTTAACAGCAACGAACACGTTGTATTCCGGGCCCAGGAGGGGTCCGAGCCAGCGTCCGGCGCTCCCCGTGTCCGGTTTAACCCCCGAAACGATCCCACCGGGGTTCGCCGCCCAGTGTTAGCTCTTGAAAACTCTTTTCCGGGGGAAAAAAAAAAAAAGCAGTACCAGTCATCACTCCCCAGCAGGAGTGCAGTTTGTAAATTTAGTCCTTCTGGAAAATTGCGATGTCTGTTTCACGGTCAACATCTTGCAGCGTCTTAGTTAACTGGATCTCACTTTCGCTTCCTTTTTTGGGTCGTTTTGCTGTTTTACTAGGACCAAGAAACACATGTAAATCCACTTCTTGAAGTGAAACCTAAGAATATTTTTTGCATGAGTTTATCCCTGACCCAGGTTATTGCTGTTGCCTTAGTGTAGTTTCTGAGGTTATGTCTCAGAGCGGCATAGCGAAGGGAAGATGGAAACTCCTCTCTAATTCAGGCCTTTAGGAAAAAACATATTTGTTGCTTAAATTATATAAATGATAGAGGGTTCTGCTTGGTGGGGGGGCTACAGCTGTGGACTGTTTCTGCACTGCAAAATGAGAGGTGCAGATTTGGAAATATCCTGGATATTTTGATTAGTGTCAACTGTCCACTTGGAAAAACCAACATTTTTAAATGGATTTGGGAGTGAGGGTAGCCGTCTGTGTCAGCCAGGTCAAATGGACGCGCATTCACATCAATTCGGACGTGCCTTCACATCAATTTGTGCTGGATGGGCAAAATCTCACTCAGAAGTCTTCTTTCCTAAGCCCACGAATGTCCGTATGAAAGAAGTAGTCGACAATCCTGTGCCACTTTTACAATGTAGTATTATTCTTTGGTAATGCCCTGTTAGTTTATTTCTCCAGATGGTTCTTTATTCCAGCTGGGTGAACGGGCTAAGTCACTGACCACACCCGTGCGGCTCTGTGTGTGTTTCAGACGTTAAATGGATAGACATCACGCCAGACATGATGGTCCAGGAGAGGCCCCTTGATGTTGACTGTAAACGCCTAAGCCCTGGTGAGTTCTTTCTCCTCGAGATCTTTTTTTTTTTTTTTTTTTGCCTCCTCCCCAGAGTGACTTCCGAACACTCTTCCAACTTTCTATCTCTTTTGTCTCCTTCAGACCGCTGCAAATGCAAAAAGGTGAAGCCGACTCTGGCGACGTATCTGAGCAAAAACTACAGCTACGGTAAGTCGTCTGCTGCACCCATTCGCTCGACGAGTTGGCCGCTGACAAAGCCAGTCACGAAGCCAATCCCAAAGTGGTTCCCTACGTGGGTTCTAGAAGGCACAATCACCCACTCTGGGGGTTCTAGAAGGCACAATAATAAAATGTCTTGCTCTTCTGCGTAAGTCAAGCAAAGACAAAGTAAGTTACCCAGGGAGAATAGCGATGTGGCTTGGCACAAATGTGACGTCAAGGTCCTATTGATCTTGGTGAGAGATGCCACCCAGCCAGGAGACCGCCCGGCCTGTTCTCTTCCTGAGGTTTCCTTGCTGCAGGAAGGGTGGGGGAGCCATCCATGAACTTGATGATCAGAGGCCCAGAGGCCCAGGAACAAAGACCTGCCCGTGTTTCTTTTTACGTATAAACACCTATAGATATTGAACATCTAAAAGAAACTGTGGAGAGAAAGGTTAATCATGAGACCCTCTGGCTACAAGTATTGACATTGTTTAAATGCCCTCCTTATTTGAAAGAACAGTCAACACAGCTATTTTCAATTTTTTAGGTAAATGTAATTCTACTGTTCTCACTTGAAAGTAAATGTAATTGAAAATCTATTCTTTTAAAATATCTGAGCTATTTTATGTTCCTTTGCATTTCTTTTTTTTTTTTTTTTTTAATGTTTGTTTATTTTTGAGAGAGAGGGCGAGAGCGAGCGAGCAGGGGAGGGGCAGAGAGAGAGAGAGACAGAATCCCAAGCAGGCTCCCTGCTATCAGCACAGAGCCCATTGCAGGGCTCCAACCCATGAACCATGAGATCATGACCTGAGTCGAAACCAAGAGTCAAACGCTTAACCGACTGAGCCACCCAGGTGTCCCCTCCTTTGAACTTCTTAAATTACTCCTGCTGGAAAACAGAACCCGTTTTGGCAAAATGGTCATTTTGTTAACTTTGTTTTCCATATTCCAAACCGAGGTTTGAAGTCCCAAATCTTATGTTGTATATCGCATGTGAAAGTAGGAAGACCACGGCAATATAAAGGTCTGGAAAAATAACCTCTTAGTTACATTGTTAGATTTGAGATTATACGTAGCCAGTGCAAGTAACTCTACTAAACAAAAAACAAAAAACCAACTGACTTTTCCACTAGCTTTTATTGTTGTCATTTTAAAACCGTTCTTCCTAGATGTTATGTTAATCTAAACGACTTACCCACCCCCACCCCCACCCCCGACACTATCCAGGCCTAGTTGCTAATCTGAGTTTCACTGTCTTGCTGTCCACGGTGTCATGGCCACATAGCTTCTTTGAGGATGAAACCATTTTCTATTTAAGTCCTTTGCCTTCTTCCTACGCCAGCTTTCTAGGACAGAATCCAAGACAGAGATCCATGCTAGGCTGATTACAATTCCATGGAAGGCAGCAATCGCAAGGGACCCAAAGGGCCAGAATTTAAAGCTTGATCAGACACCGTGGTGTTGATTAACAGCCATCTGTAATTACACTTATGTCTGTACACCGCAGACCCCGCTTTGACCAAAGTCTGTGAAATGACAGGATTAAAAACAGTGATCTTCAGAGACTCCGGCCAATTCAAAAATGTTACAACTTTAATAGCTTCCTTTGGAAGACAGGAAGTTTCCAGCATCAGACGGGCAGTTGGACCACACAAACCGTAAAGTGGCTTGTGAGTCTGAGAACAGACGATTCTTACTTCCGATAGTCACGAGGCAATGACATTTTTACTGACATGCCACGTAACTGAATTTCCTGATATGTTCTTGGCAAGCAAGCCTGCAAAACAGAACTGATTTTAGATTTTCAAGGCTGGGAAAATTCTGTGAGGTTCTCTTCCCACATCCCAGCTGTAGCCCGGTGAGGAGCAGTCGCTGGCCCAGAGGCAGAGCCCGGACCGAGCCCGCCTGGCCCTTTGCCCTTGCATCTTGCAGGATGATCGAGCTCTCTAAACACGACGCCGACAGTACGATTGTGTGGGCTTCTGGCCTGCGTCTGGGCCGCTGGGACATGACCATAATTACAGGAGGGAGTCTTTGAGAGAGCTCGGCACTTGGCGTGAGTACACCATCCCTCTTCGTCTGCAGAGGCCTCATCGACACTTGTCTCAATTTTTAAATTGTAGTCATCCACGCCAAAATAAAAGCCGTGCAGAGGAGCGGCTGTAACGAAGTGACCACAGTGGTGGACGTGAAAGAGATCTTCAAGTCCTCGTCGCCCATCCCGCGCACACAGGTGCCGCTCATCACCAACTCCTCCTGCCAGTGCTCGCACATCCTGCCCCATCAGGACGTGCTCATCATGTGCTACGAGTCGCACTCCAGGTAGGCACGGAGGGGGTGCGGGGGAGGGAGCTGTGCACTGCTTAAGGAAACGCGGATCTCGTTCGCCAGCCCCGCTCTGTTGTCAGTAGTTCTTTTTACAAAGACCATTAAGGGGCACCTGGGTTGAGCGTCAGACTCTCGATTTCGACTCAAGTCGTGATCCCAGGGTCGTGGGATCGAGCCCCACATCGGGCTCTGTGCTGAATGTGGAGACTGCTTGAGATTCTCTCTCTCAATCTCTCTTTCTCTCTCTCTCTCTGCCCCTCTCCCCTCTTTCTCTCTAAATAAAGAAATAAAAAATTAAAAAATAGACTCGTGAATAAAAATACAGTTTCAACAGATGCCTCTGTTGGGCTGTCACATACCCTAAAGATCATTTAATGCCTTGTGGCACTAAGGAAAAACAGAAATAGGAGTATTTAAACGGAATCTTTAAAAATTAATTTTGGAATTTATTAAGGGACTTCAAAAATTATAGGCAGATTGGGGCACCTGGGTGGCTTAGTCGGTTGGGCGTCCGACTTTCGCTCAGGTCATGATCTCGCGGTTCGTGGGTTCGAGCCCCGCGTCGGGCTCTGTGCTGACTGCCAGCTCGGAGCCTGGAGCCTGTTTCAGTCTGTGACTCCCTCTCTCTCTGACCCTCCCCTGCTCACACTGTCTCTCTCTCTCTCTCCTAGAAATAAATAAAACATTTAAAAAAAATTATAGGCAGATAAATTACAATGAGTTAAAACAATTCGTTTCAAATCATTCAAATCAATCTTAGTGTGGCAAATATTTTTTTTAAAGAGCTCTTTAATAATCAAGTAAAGGCAGCCATTTGAGATGACAGTTTCAGATTTTCCTTATATACAATATGAATTTACAATATTTGATAGATCATTACATACATACCCACATTCACGCTCACACCCACCCACATATGTCCGCGTATCTCTAGCTGGGAGTAGGTTTCCCCACATCTCTTCTTGGCATCTTTTTATTTATTCTTTGAAAATTTTTAATGCTCTTATTTATTTCTGGGAGAGAGAGAGAAACCACGTGAGCAGGGAGGGTCAGAGAGAGAGGGAGACCCAGAATCCAAAGCAACCTCCAGGCTCTGAGCTAGCCATTGGCACAGAACCCGATGCGGGGCTCGAACCCACAAACCGTGTGACCATGACCTGAGCCGAAGTCAGATGCTTAACTGACTGAGCCACTCAGGCGCCCCGGCATCTTTTTATATATTGGTACATTCCTTAGAATGTACAAATCAGACTCTTCAGACCAGGTTACAGGATGGGCCCCATAACAGGCTGCAGTATATATCTCCAACAAAATCACTCAATTTTTTATACAAGTCTTCCCTTTAATTCCCTGCCATTAATGCTCCTCTCTTCTGGGTACAGCTGTAAACTGTTTTTTCAAAACACCTTTTGCAACTGACCTCACTCGAATACTTACTTTTCTGATCCGTATTCTGTCTTTCCTGATCTGTACCCTCCCTTGGGTACCCCTGGCTTTTTTTTTTTTTTCTTTAATGTTTATTCATTTATTTTGAGAGAGAGTAAAGTAGGGCCGGAGAGAGAATCCCAAACAGGCTCCGCGCTGTCAGCGCGGGCTTAGGGCTCGATCTCACGGTTGTAAGACCATGACCCTCAACCAACCCTCAACCGAGCCACCCAGGTGCCTCATGGGTGTCCTTGGCTTTAACGCTGCTCTTGTACTTCTATCTTGTCTCTCTAAAGAATGAATGGGGTCTCCCGGGGGGCTCAGTCGGTTAAGCATCCAGCTTCAGCTCAGGTCATGATCTTGCAGTTCGTGGTGTCAAGCCCCACATCGGGCTCTGTGCTGACAGCCAACTTGGAGCCTGGAGCCTGTTTCAGATTCTATATCTCCCTCTCTCTCTGACCCTCCCCTGTTCACACTGTCTCCCTCACTGTCTCTCTCCCTCTCTCTCTCAGAAATAAATAAAACATTAAAAAAAAAAAAACAAACAATGAATGGATGTTGACTGAATGTTGCTGGGCTCTTCTCTTGCATATTGTTTGTATCTGCTACCGGACTCAGTGCAGTTCTGGGAATGTACCAGACTGCTGGTCATTAAATTCTATTTGAGGGGCGCCTGGGTGGCTTAGTCAGTTAAGCGTCCAACTTTCGCTTAGGTCATGATCTCTCTGTTTGTGGGTTCTAGCCCCTCGTCTGGCTCTGTGCTGACTGCCAGCTCGGAGCCTGGAGCCTGTTTCAGTCTGTGACTCCCTCTCTCTCTGACCCTCCCCTGCTCACGCTCTCTCTCTCTCTCCTAGAAATAAATAAAATTTAAAAAATACATGTATAAAAATAATAAATTCTATTTTGATTCCTGTCATCCTTTCTGTTCATTTAGAGATTTAATGTCATTCTGATTAAAATACCAATAAAAATATTTTCGAACGATTGGGAGTTATGCCTTCCCACATAATGCCAATGATCATTTGTAAGCACAGACCGACATGGGCGTGGAAAGGAGATTTTGAAAATACCATTTGAGAGGAAATTGGTTTCTGCCTTAGGAGAAACAGAAAATTGGAACAAAGCTAGACTTGCTAAAACCATGTGGTGCAAAAGTAGACATGTAGATAAATAAAACAGAGGAAGAATTCTTGAGACAGATTCTAATGTGTAAAATAACATGTTAGGAAGGAAATATGGCAAATCAATTAGACCTGAGTATATTAGTTAGTAAATTGTTGCAAATATTTTTATTTGGAAAAACAGTACATATTTGCAATTTATACTATACCTTAAGATAAATTTCAAATGGATTCAAGAGATATTTTTGAAACTTAATCATAGAGGGTAAAATTAGGTGAATTAGACATGTGAAATCTGAATGACAAAATACTTTGCAAGCATGAAATCAATGTAAGAAATTACAAGAGAAAATGTCAATACATGACCTTTGATGACATTGTATCATGGACATAAAAATTACCAGAGAAAGACAACAAAGGTTGAGAAAAATACTTGCAATAGTTATGACAAAAGACTAGTAGCCTTATTCTATAAAGAGTTCATATAAGTTAACGTTTAACACATGAAGACTACAATATATAAATAATATGTACACAAATCTATATGGACAAGTTCCAAAAGAAATACAAGTAGTAAATAAATTTACCTCCTTAATTCTCTGGTCCAAATTAAAACATGATCTGAATGAAATTTCAACCATTCTGAAAACAATTTAGCACTGTGCCTTGAAAACTTTGAAAAAAATACATACTCTTGGACCCACTAATTCTACTTTAAAAAATCTGTCCTAAGTGGGGGCGCCTGGGTGGCTTAGTCGGTTAAGCATCCAACTTTCGCTTAGGTCATGATCTCGCGGTTCGTGGGTTCGAGCCCCGCGTCGGGCTCTGTGCTGACAGCCAGCTCAGAGCCTGGAGCCTGTTTCAGAGTCTGTGACTCCCTCTCTTTCTGACTCTCCCCTGCTCACGCTGTCTCTCTCTCTCTCCTAGAAATAAATAAAACATTAAAAAAAAATCTGTCCTAAGGGAATAATAAGCCAGTGCACACTAGTATATATACAAGGATATTCAACACAATGCTGGTGATAGTAGCGAAGCAATGAAGGAGGTTCAACAGTAGAGAAAGGCCTAAGTGTATCATGGATATCATTGTTGCAATATTATATGGTTATGAAAGCTGTATGTTTGAATTATCTCTATTATATGATAAGATGCATATAATAGAATGATAGAAAAAGAAACGTACAGTGTGATCTGAATACAGTGTGATTTAAAAATATAGGTACAGGCAAGAATAAAAGGAAATGCTAGTAAAATATAAACGGTGGATACGTGGATTGTAGAATCAAGGTTTATAAAGAATTTTGGTTTGTAGGGCCCCTGGGTGGTTCAGTTGGTTAAGCATCCAACTCTTGATTTTGGCACAAGTCATGATCACATGGATGTGAGATAGAGCCCTGAGTTGGGCTCCTAGCTAATTGTGGAGTCTGATTAAGATTTTCTCTCTCTCCCTCTGCCCCTCTCCCTGGCTAGCATACTCGCTCTCTCGCGCTCTCAAAAAAAAAAAAAAAAAGAATTTTGGTTTTTTACAATTTTTTTGTATTTTTAACTTTTTCCTTTTTATAATCTGAATTGCTTAAAATAAATTTCTTTTTTTTTCCAGGATGATGCTTCTTGAAAACTGTTTAGTTGAAAAATGGAGAGATCAACTTAGTAAAAGATCCATAGTAAGTATAATTGGCAATACCACGAATAGCAATCTAAGTGCATATAAAGAAATTCTGTAGAACTGGGGAATTCTTCACTTTCTTCCATTTCCAGGCTCTCACAGGAGCCTGAAATCACAGCAGTATTTTTGTCTTTTGAATAAGTAGTTAAGAGCAAAGTTCTTCTCATTTCAACCTCAAAGATGATTTTGTTGCACTCAGTCCTGATCTAATGGTTATTTCTAGATTAAATTAGGGTTTTTTCCTTTGGTATTTAATTTAACTATTTTACCAAACAGTCAGGTACGAGCAGAGTTAACAACCATTGGGATTAAAACAGACATATACATGAAAGGGTGTGAACCCACAATTCGAAAATTCATGCTTTCTCCATACAAAGCGTCATCACTCTGCATATTTAAAATGATTATGAGACTTTTATCATAATAAATTATATACAAACTGTAATCATTTTGTGGCCAAATCCATGATTTTCAGTGGCATCGTCATAGAAATATTAGTAATTCAATTAGAAGAGTTAGAATAATTTTTTGCCCAGAGATATGCTATCACATCAGAGCTAAAGAAATCAGGTCATTGGCTTGAGATGTTTAAAGCATCCCCCCTCCTGAAAGTACAGATAGATAGATCTAGGAGAGTTTGTGCTGTCAGGTTCACAGTGGTCCTTCCTACTGCCTGGGTGGGGAAGAAGTGTATGTTAATACTGACTTCATGGAGAGGGGAGTTTGAACATAGCCTCTTCTGTGTGTTCCAGGATCACATGACTGTTACAGCTGAGCTGAAAACTCAGAGCTGTCAGGAGCACGCTTAGCCTTACGGGACAGAAAATTCTAGCAGGATGGGTTATCTCGTTTCCAAGACTACAGTAGATGAGAAACATCAGTGTAGAAAGCAGGTCCAGCATGAGAACCCAGGAGGAAAGAAAGCTTTCCAGAATCATAGCTATTTAGAGGCCCCTGGGTGGCTCAGTCGGTTAAGTGTCTGACTTTAGCTCAGGCCATGATCTCATGGTTTGTAGGTTCAAGCCCCACTTTGGGCCCCACATTGACAGAGTGAAGCCTGCTTAGGATTCTCTCTCTGCTTCTCCTCCCACTCATGCTTTCTCTCTCTCTCAAAAATAAATAAATAAATAAAAATAACTAGGGGCGCCTGGGTGGCTCAGTCGGTTAAGCGTCTGACCGGCTCAGGTCATCTGACTGGCTCAGGTCATGATCTCGCGGCTCGTGGGTTCGAGCCCCGTGTTGGTCTCTGCGGACAGTTCAGAGCCTGGAGCCTGTTTCAGATTCTGTCTCCCTCTCTGCCCCTTCCCCACACACTCTCTCTCTCTCTCAGAAAATGAATAAACATTAAAAAGTTGTTTTTAAGTATTAAAGATTCATAGCTGTTTGGGCCATTCACTTTTGCAGCAAATATTGTAATACCCTTCAGTAAGAATTTGAAAATATCACTATATAATAGCAAATGTAATGTGTTTACTATTTTAGAACACATAGAGTCGTGCCCTGAGAAGGTGGAGACAGTATTTCTAGTGCCTAGAACAATGTCTGGTCCGTGGTCATGCTCAGATTCTCTGCTGAATGAAATATAACAAAGTAGGGGCATTTGTGTTATAATAAAAAGCAGTGTCTATTCAAGTAGACTTTGTCAGTTTTTTCTTACATGCAGCTATTTAAATAAATAGTATTTCTTTCTATAATAAGCAGTGTATATAATTTTCTATCAAGGAAACTACTACCCAGAATGCCTCATTTCTCCTGGGTTCTGAGTAGCTAGCACTTGAGTGGATTCCTAGATGTGGGTGGGGCCTCTGTGTTCCTTTGGATGTAAGAGAATTAGGTGAGCCTGTCCATAAACATGGGAAGAGACCTTTGGACTTCCTAGTGAGGCTGGATAAATTTCTGCTCTTTGCCATGTCGCAGCCTGTTTAGAAGCTTTGCCGTGTAGGAGTGTTGCATCATCGAGCCTGTGGGCAAAAGTACATGGGCTGGGGCCTCGGGCTCTGGAGTCAGACTGGGTGAATTTGAATCCCAGCTCTGACATTTATCAGCTGTGGGACCATCTGCAAATAAGCTCTGTGTGCTCCCTTCCCAGTCATGACCATGGCGTCCACCTAGAAGGGCTGTTGTGAGTTTCAGTGAAACGAATGCGAATCAAGACTTCCTCCCATACTGAGCCCCTTTTCGAATCACCTGGTATATGATAATGCAGGGTAGCTAAATTGCATTAATTCTGATATTAGGGCCACAGCATGACACGGTGAGACGCATCTGATGGTCATGTGTGCAAATTGCCTCCCAGCAGTGGGAAGAGCGGCTCCAGGAGCAGCAGAGGGCAGGTCAGGACAAGAAGCGATCGGCTGGGCGTTCGGGTCGTAGCAACACCCAGAAACCGAAGGGAAAGCCGCCTGCTCCCAAACCGGCGGCCCCCAAGAAGACCATCAAAGCCAGGAGTGCCCAGAAGAGAACAAACCCCAAAAAAGTGTGAGCCAACAGCGGAGACTGCCTCTCGGGATGAGGCCGGGCACTGCCCAGCCAGCCTGGGGGCGCGGTGCCCTCTCCTTGCCTCAACGATGGCAGTCCCCCGCCACAGACTCATCGTACGGCCGTTTCCTTGATGATATGCTTCCATTTTTTCTTTTTCAGCTGCCACCAACCCTAGTGGTAGGTACGTCCTTTGTTTGGTACGGAACGTACAGGAAAGCGGGGAGCCGGGGGACAAAGCTTCTCGTGGCATTCAGAGGGGCCCTGGTTGCGCGTAGTCTGTGAGATCTCCAGGTGGGGAAGGGATGCCTGCTCCTTACCATTTGACCTAATATGTGCATTGTAAAATAAATGCCATATTACAAACAAAACACCCATTTTTTTTTTTTTATAATACGTTGTATTTCAGCTTCTGTTGTTCAAATGCTTGCGATGTTTCAAAATGTGATTGAAAGTAGTGATTCTCAGGAGGGAAGCAAGAGGAACGAAGAATGAATGTCTCAGAGATCTTTGTATGTTTACCATGTGCCCAAGAGTTTCTGTGATGAAAGGGAATTTTTGAACAATCTAGAAAAGTAGCATCTGGGAAATTTTAACGTACGTTTGTTTTTTGTTTTTTGTTTGTTTATTGGTTGGTTTTACAAAGAAGCCTTTCACCTAGAGTTTTTAGGTAGACACTCAAGAAACTAAAATAATAATGATGATAACTAAATAAATAAAAGGGAAGGGCAGATATACCACCTCCGGATCCTTGTTTTCTGGTTACCATGCCGTTGGGTGGAAAGGCTCAGAATGTACATTCGTGATGCTTCACATTAGTAACCATGCCGCAGCGCCAGAAACAGAGAGTGTTTTCCCTCTGATGATTTATATGCCAATGACTCTGCCCCCAAGAATTTTACAGCTGTGCACACACTGCTCATGTCACTTCCCAGGATGCCCTAGACCTCTTGATGCCAAGCCTGAGAGAATTTGCTCTCTGCCGGAAGCTGGTGCTTACAAAGGTGTTGTGGGCCCAGTGTGAGAGGGCCAGGACTCCAAGTCCCTGCTCTCAGCCACCGCTACACACCAGCTCTGCATCTGGGAGGGCAGCTGCAGTCACTCCTCCTTCCAGGGATGTAGAGGAACAACCTGAAAGCTTAGGTATAAAACCTCCTGTAGATCTGCCATTGCCCCCGCTTCTCAGAGAAGGCGTAGGTGACATGTTGCGCTCACACAAGATCATTAGACACACAATCTGATTTCACCTCTGTCCGCCGCCGGGACGCAGGAGTGAGGTGTGTGGGGAAGCCAGGGGAGCGTGGAGAAATGGGGTTGCCGAGCATGCCGGCAGGGGCTCCCCTTCTTCCTAAAAGCGGCACAGGTCGGGTGTGTCGCCACCGCCCCAGGGCGGCAGAGTTTAAGGAATCCAATAGATGGACTCACACAAGGGTACCAGTAAAATGCTCAGCGTATGTTTCTGTTATTTTAAAGGCCAGACTCCTTAGCCCTTAAGGAATGCTGGATACGTGTTAGCATCGCATCCACACTAAAGAAACCTGGGAAAGGCTGTTAGAAGGCCCTGGCAGCCTAGCTTACCTCCTTAGCGTTGCAGGGCTTCTTTGGGGAAGGGAATCAGAAATGGAACTCTCTGTGGGAATGGAGAAGCAAACATGTATGTAATAGAAAAAAAAAAAGTAAACACTATTTTAAGTGCAATACTGAATATAATAAGAGTTTGGAGATGACTACATACGTAAACACTGTTTGAATATTTAACTGAAATCATATACTGAATATGACACAACACTTGATACTTCTTTAGGAACATTGATACATTATACAATACTTAACTATGCACATTTAAACATTATAGGTAATCGGGCGTGTGTATCAGTTTGATTAATCGATAAAAAATTAAGTAGGCCACCGGTTATTTATTACGAAGAAGTCAAAAACGAACATCAGCCCACACTAGGGTTAAGATAAAAAGTGTGGTAGTGATCTTTGTGTGAAGGTCAGAGATTTCTTTTTCTCCCTTAAATATTTTCTCCATCAAAATACATGTGAGAGGAGGTGAATATTAACATATGGAGAAGAAAGCTGAGGTATTGAAATGAGAATTATTTGAAGGTTGGATTACTTTTGTGAGGAAAGAATAGCATTTTGCAATATTATGATCAGCAAATTTCATAATTAAGGACAATGGGAGGCATTTATATTTTCAATAATTTTGTTGGTTTTTCAATAATACAGGAAACATGTATTTTCTATAAAGTATTTAATAAATGCATAAAATAAAAATAGTGGAATTACAATCCTACCTAATCCTATTTATCACTATGCAGAGGTAATTGCTGTTAGTATTTTGGTATACAGTTGTCCAGGTGTTTCTTATGCATTTATATAATGATTTGAGAAAAAAAACTAGAGCTTATTATACATACTGTTCATTAACCTTCCTTCTTCACTCAGCCTCTTATTGAGATGAGTTCTCATGTCAATAAAGCTGATGCCACCTCATTTATAATGGCTCTGTTGTAGTCCATGGTTGCTTTACTCTACAAACCCTTGTGTTATTAGGCATTGATGTTGTTTTTTAACATACTGACTAGCTGAGTCAACATCTTGATAACTATTATCTGTGCACATCCTTCATCGGTCCTTTGGGATACATCAGGTTAAATAGCCTTGCTGGGCCACGGAGTATGTTCACCGAGGAAAGTCCCTGACTATGGTGTCAGTTATCCATCAGGATGTTGGACCACAGATAGGGAAAAATGTTGACTTTCCAAATCCTCACTAAGACCGTTTGGCCCTGCCAATATTTCTTTATACATTTTAGCTGGAAACCGGATGTCATCTTGGGCAAAGCTCCACTCCTCCTCTGTGAGCCATCACTGAGCACATTCTCAACACTCCAAATACTCAGGAAGCTGGCAAATGAGTGATTAGGCACTTCAGAAAGGGTACAGTTGATGGACAGATAGGTGATTGATAGATGATGATGATCAATGACAGATAAGATAGATAATAGATACAATAGATGATGATAGATGGATAGAGGGATGATAGATAAGACATATGATAGCTAGATGATAGATAAGATAGATTATAGATGATGATAGATAAATATGATAGATAGATAGATGATAGATAGATAGACGATAGATAGATGATAGATAGATGATAAATCTCTTGACTTGGGAAAGTCTATACAACCTTACAACTTCAATCTTTTTAATGATTCAAATTTAGTAATATAACTGGTCAGCTAGAGAAACCAAAGAATTAGGATGTAGCAGACATGCCAATAGATTTTCTTTCAGTCCAGCCTTCTTTTAAGATACATGAAAATTTAGATAAACAACCTTGGTTTCTTGCTCTTTGGTTGAAACCGATGCAGTGTGAATACACTTTTGCCTTTTGTCCTTGGATGCTTAAAGGGATGTCCATTGAAAACTTACAATAAGATTCCTTCACTTGAGCTGGTTCCACTTCTGTTGAGTGGAATTAGTCCCTGAATAAAAATGAAGAGCACGTATTTTTTGTTTTGGGGGTTTTTTTGCTGGTTTTTTTTAACCACAATTTTCTACCTGCTGTTATCACCCACTCAAAAAGCAAAAGTGGTTATTTGGAATTGTGGAATGAAAAATATGAATGGGACTTTAGACCTCATAATCTAGCTTGGAAAAAAAAAAAGACTATACTAGGGCTTATCTGCCACTTCACTTGTAGTTAAATTAGAGAAAGATCTGGGCCCCCAAAGCTACTCAATTTTAACTTAACAGGCCAAAGTGCTCTGATAACATAAAGCCAGGCTATTCGAGGGAAGGCTCATTTATCACCACACAAAGACCAAATAGAGAACAAATTGTTGCTTCTGGTTATAGAATAATATATGCCAATATTGATCATATTTCCTAATGGGAAAATAATTTTTGAAAAGCATTTTACCCTAAAAGGTATATCATGTCACAGTGACAGACATGTCAACCAAAAATTTTAGTTGTCACCTTTGTGACTTAACTGATAAGCAAGGAATGATGTGTTCTCCAGATCAATGGAGTATGTGGGATAGTGTATTTACCTTAACATTAGTACCCCAAAGGGAATGCGTGACGCTAGGAGGGCAATGAAATATCTCCCACCTTTTGTTATTCAAACAACAGAGATAAGCAGAGAAAAGCAGAAAGAGGAGAACCCCAAATGTCAAAATCGGCATTTCCGGCACTTCCAGACTCTGAGTATATGAATAGAATAGCGTTAACATGAATGCCTTTCCATATAAAGAAATAAAACTGTATTTTCATTTTCCACAACTGCATAATTTAGATGTACCAGAGTTTATTTTGCCAGTTACTTGTGAGAAGGGATGTTTAAATGTGTTTCCTAAGGCATATTAGATTTTTGTGACACAAATAATTTTCCGCTCGGATTGAATTTTCAGGACCAGAAAAAAATGAGCACAAGAGCGCAAAGCAGAAATGCTTTTGCGTATTTTGTCTAGTGAACACGCGTTACTTTTAGAAGATGCGACAAAAATATCATGAGAGAGAGAAAAGGGGAGCGAGGACAAAATGGAATGTAGTATGGTTTTAAGCCACGTGGACACACAAACGTGAAACCTGTTTCATGGATGACATGTACATTGGTCTGGGTCCTCGGAGAAGCAGGCACAAAATGGAGTGGACTGTGGAAGGATTCGGTTCAAGGAAATACCTGTTGAGAGATGGGAGGGGAGATGAACAGGGCTGGCAGAAGAGAAAATGAGAGGGAAGAGAGGTTGAGTGGAATCACTTCACACTCCCTCAACGTCTTAAGGAGAATTTGGCAAGGCTATTGGGAAGCGGTGAGACTAGCCAGACATCAGTGAGCCCCTCATCTCCCAGGAGCAGCTCTGCCACCGTGTTCTGCCACACTCAGTCACGGACGGGGACCCGCCCATGGAAGGCTGGTTTTGGCACAATGTTAGCAATGCATTTCAGACCACGGTGTCTGGATACCTGGTCAGTTATGGTCCCCATGGTTGGTGTCGAGCAAACAAATGTCTCTATCAACTTTGGTAATTGCCGTCTATAAACTATTTGAACCTGTAAAAGCCCAAAACGTTAATGTCTTCATGTCTTTCTGTTCTACTTCAAATTTATTGAAGGGAAAATGTGCCAATCACAACTATGGTCTTACAATATTTACCCTTCTACCTAACAGAGGTTTCTTTGTACTCTGTAAAGTATGTAAAGAGTATAAAGGATGGCAGTTATGAGGTAGTTAACAAGGCAATTCATGGCGGTAATAAAGTCCATGATGAGTAATTTTGCCTTTACAGGTCCACGCAGTGCCAGGACAACCATATAAGCATAAGCATATCCAGCTCAATACTTTTATGAGATCCATTTTATAACTGGATAATCGTAAATTATGTAACTGTAATATCTAGGTGAGAACCACTTAATGATGGTGAGTTTGGATCACATTAGTGATGTACTTTGAAAGAGAAAAGGAGCATACTTCATTAGCAAGTAAATCTAGCTAACAGGAAGATTCATAACCAGAGGGCTGATTCCAAGCATCACAACACTGTAATAACATGAATAACATGATGTAGTGCAAAGAACTCAGATTGAACAAAAAACGGTATTATGAATAAAATTCCATCATGGTATCAAGGGATATCTAAATAATTTCAAATATTTATTATGTCACTGAAATATTTCACATGCTGAAGATCACACTGACAATTGCTTAGTCGACGTTCTCCCTTTATTAAAAGCATGAAAAGACTGGCTTTGGAGGTCACCCAAAGTAGTTTCCAAGGGATGAGCAAGTTCAAACACAGTTCAGGCAAGAATCAGTATCAGGGCATCCACCCCAGTGAGCGGAAATGGCACCAGCAGAGTCCAGGAAGAGGGCCACAGAATAGGAAACCCGTCCATTTTCCTGACGCCGTCTATTTACAGAGAACAGGAGCCAATGAACAGATGCTGGAAAGTATTTGGTGCCAACCCAGAACGCTTCAGGTCCCGTCTTGGAAGGGGGCTATAGGGACAAAGTGGGGCCATCAGAAAACTTGTGGCTTCAGGGTCAAGGTGCACAAGAAAGCCAGTCCTACAGGAAAGGGGTTGTCTTGTACAGTGCAATTCATAATCCAGTTCTGCCCTCAATGGCTTTAGCCACGGTGGCTGAGATTTCTGAGACGTGTGCTTTCTGCTGCAATTCCAGCGGAGATTCAAGATCAGTCCATTTGGCGGGGACGCTGACAACTTTCTAGCCTCTTCTAACCTTTCTTCAAGAAAATATTCACAGGTTCTGCCAATCTCAGCTCCCATGTGCCTGCCTCGTGCGGCTGCCGCCCACTAACTTCAATCTCAAGACCAGCACCCGCACAAACTAGGGTTTCACTGAACATATCTCTTTGGGGCATTGATTATTGGATTTCTCACTACTTAGCTCAAAACGAATTCTGTAATCCTAGAGGAATACCCTTTCCCTGTCTTGCTTATAAAAATCTTTATACAGAGAAGACCACATAGATAGACAACTGAGGGAAACATGCCATCTGCTGGTGAAATGTGTTATTAATTTTGTTGTTTTAATGCTTTTGAAGTTCTGGACCCTTCCTGAGTGGTCCACGCACGGTGCCACTTGACAGCTAATAGTACTACACCTGAAGGAGTGGGGAAAGGTAAGGAAGGTGAAGGTTTTTACTATACTTATTTTTCTGCACAATCAAAAAAAAAAAAGCCAGTAATCGATTTACCCTAGTTTTTTTTTTAATGCATTCTGAAGAAAAATTGAGAAATATCCTTACTGTTCATTCACATGTGCTTCTCAAACATAATATTGGAACACTAGAGTTGTGAGGTGAGCAAGGTATTACTAATACTAACTAATCAAGAGTTGATGTCAGCAAGACGGCAGAGTAGGAAGCCCCGGACCATCCTTTCCCCTGCAAATTCACCAACTCAAGGACAATTCATGGACAAATTTCCTTTGCATGAAGTCCAGGGACTAAGTGGAAAGCCCTTGCACTCTACGTGACCATGACGCCAGAATCACCAAAGCCAGTAGGGAGATGCGGGACGCCCTGTGCCTGGAGCCCCCGCACCCAACACAGCAGCATGTGATCAGGAAGAAACCTCCTAACTCTTGGCTTCTCCCAGGGGAAGGAAGGAACAGGTTGGGGTGTCCAGTGCCCCAGCTTTCCAGAGCGGGATCCCAGCAGACTGACCTAGGTCTCGTCAGCCTTGGAGGCTGGATGGATCTAGCACAGCCTAGTAGGCAGGGGAGTACAGAGATGGAAGACACCGTAGCTCCCCTTCTTCCCAGTGCAGAGAGGGCAGGTCAGAAGGCCCAGGTCTGGAGGGGGGCAGCTGGAAAAGGCAGCATGGCTACGCGGGGGTTGGCCCTAACAATCTATCCAGCCTCTGGGGTGGGTGGGGGAGCCAATTGCCCCAGGCAGATAGGTGGTCAGTTGGGCTAGGGTGGCTGTGGCCACACAGGCCTACAGGGCATGGATACCCAAGGCTAGGGGTGGGGGAGCAAACTGCACACTGTCATGTGACTCCCAGCATCCAGGGAGGCTAGGTCCCCGTCTCCATGTCCAGACTGTGTAGCCAGGAGCCTGAGTCACCTGTGTGGGTACCTGCAAGCCACAGCCTGCCAGGTCCAGCCTGCTGTAAAACAAAGGCTTAGGGGCATCTGGGTGGCTCAGTCAGTTAAGGTTCTGACTCTTGATTTCATCTCAGGTCATGATTTCAGTTCATGAGTTCGAGCCCCACATTGGGCTCTGTGCTGACCGCGCAGAGCCTGCTTGGGATTCTCTCTCTCCCCTCTCTGCCCCTACCCTTCTTGCACTCTCTCTCTTAAGATAAATAAACTTTTTTTTTTTTTTTTAAAGGCTTAAACATAAGACATAAACAGGTAAAGCTCCCAGAAAAAAAACAAAACAAAACAGGAAAAGCTGCATGATACTGGTCTTGGCAGTCATTTCACAGATAAGGCACTAAAGGCACAGATAACAAAAACAAAAATAAATAAGCGGAACTAAATCAAACTAAAAAGTTGCCACACAGTAAAGAGAACAGTCAATAGAATGTAAAGTCAAGCTGTAGAGTGGGAGAAAATATTTGCCATACATCTGATACCAAAATCTATAAAGAACTCATAAAACTCAGTAACAAAGAAAACCCAATAACTCCTCTAAAAAATTGGGCTAACAGGGCGCCTGTGTGGCTCAGTTGGCTAAGCCTCCGACTTTGGCTCAGGTCATGATCTCATAGTTCATGAGTTCGAGCCACGACAGGCTCTGTGCTCTGATTCTGTGTCTCCCTCTCCCTCTGCCCTTCCCCTGCTCACACTCTGTCTGTCTCTCTCAGAAATAAATATGCATTAAAAACAATTTTTTTAAATAAATAAAATGGGCTAAGGACTTGAACAGACTTTTCTCCAAAAAAGACATACAAATGACCAACAGGTATATGGAGATATGTTCATCGTCACTCATCACCAGGGAAATGCAAATCAAAACCACAGTGAGAGGCCACCTTACACCTCTCAGGATGGTGCATATATGTGTCTTTAGTAGGATGTGGGCAAACTGGAGCCCTTACACCCCTGGCAGGAATGCAAACTGGTCCAGCTGCTGTGTAAACACGGTATGGAGGGTCCTCATAAATTAAACAAAAGAACCACCAAAAAATATAGGACTACCAATGTTACGCAAGAATCCCACTTCGGGGTACTTATCCAAAATAATTAAAAACCGGATCTTGATGTTACCATTCCCACGTTCACTGGAGCACTAATCACAGTAGCTAACATGTGGGAACAGCCTAAAATGTCTATGAACAGGTGAATGGATAAAGAAAATGTGCTGCCTACGCATGATGGAATATTATTTAGCCTTAAAAAAGAAGGAAATTCTGCAAAATGTGACACTCTGGGAGGGACCTTGAAAAGAGTATGTTAAGGGAAATAAGGCAGACACAGAAAACAAGAACTGCACTATTCCACGTGACTAGTCCTATTCAAAAAATCAAAGATGGGAACGGTGGCCGCCGGGGGCCGGGGGGAGGGGGAAATGGGGCGTATTAATCAACTGACATAAAGCTTCAGTGAAGTCACATGAATACACTCTAGAGATCTGCTATCTAACACGCACCTAGAGTCTACAAGAACGTATTGGGCCCTTAAAATTTTGTTAAGAGGATAGAGCTCGGTGTCCAGTGTTCTTATCACAGTAAAAAGAATCCTAAATGATCAACGTTTGTATCTCTCTTAACGTGATAGTTTAAAAATTAGGAGGAAACGTTAATCACACAAGAGCATCATTCTCACTCTCTTGCTTTCCAGTATGTTCTCTTGAGTGGAATGGAAAGGAGGGTTCAGAGCCAGCAGGCTGGGATTTACACATAACTCTGGCTGTGCACGTAACTTTGCTACATGCATCACTGAGGCAAACGTCATCAGATGACATCCTGAGAGGAGGAAATGCCAAAACCAGCGAACGCTTTGGCTTATTCTCAACTTCATCCCTGGAGAGAGCTGCCTTGTCTTAGCCTTAGGAAACAAAATACATGACCTGGGCCGGCCTGTAGTTAGATTGTAAATCACGTAAATCGACATGACACGTCTTCAGAGTTTATTCCTGAAAGGCTTAGAGTCCATTTTTGGCCAACCTCTAAATATACGTTAGGGCTGCATTTCGTATGCATCTCTTCTGTGACTCCACTCCTGCCTTTACTGGATCCATCCTACACTCTTCTTCCCCATGTTGCATGCACCCCTCCCCCCCATTATGTTTTGGACCTTGGGTGCATTTATACAAGCTGCCTTAACTCGTCTCTGAAAGATAGAGTAAAAATAAACAGTAAGATTTGTTTGAGGTTACCTTTTTTATTGTTGTTACGCATTCCCATATGTTTTTCACTTTGAGGTGAGTGTTTAACTTGAGGGAACATTGAGTTTTCCTCCAGAGAGTATCTATCTTCCTTTTGATTCTAACTTACATGCAGTGTCTTCTCCAAGTCCTAAGAAAAGAAGAATATACTTGATGAGCTACATAGAAAGCTAATTTTAAAGTAGGTTGTGGGTTTCCATTTTACACACAAATCCCTGACCTGTGATACAGTTGCCACGCTTCTGAGATGCGATAATACTGCCTGATTCAGCAAGTTCACAATCAGCAAGAGTTTTCAACCCATGAACAAATGCCGTGGACAGGGCTAATTAAAAACATTAACTGTGAGTAACTGCAGCTTTCTATTCGATCCTTTCCAGGTTTCAGAATTGCTGGTTGACCAAATGTGGGGATAGAATTTGGAGGGAGCTGCAAAAGACAACAGGTCTGAGTGTGCAGCTTTTTATGGCACATGCTGGAAAGTCTAGAACAAGAGGAGAAGGTGACGAGTGGGTAAGGAGCTGCAGCGCCCAACACGCAGCTCTACGAATTTCCTGGTGGTTGTGGTGGTGGTGTTATATTTTGTTTGGAAAAAAAAATCCTTTATTTGGTATCTCTTCAAGAAACTTTAGTAAAGGTTTACTTTTTATTTAAAGATTTTGATGCTGGGATTACATGCATTTTTTAAAAACGTGTTGTAAGACAAGCTTCAATGTGTATTGTTTGAGGAGAGGGTTTGGAGAACTCTGTTGGGAGGGAACTTTGTGCTCTCCTGAGGAACTATTCTTCTTTATTTTATTTTTAAGATATTTTTATTGGGGTGCATGGGTGGCTTAGTCGGTTGAGAGTCCAACTTCAGTCCAGGTCCAGATTCCATGCTTCATGAGTTCAAGCCCCATGTTGGGCTCTGTGCTGACGGCTCAGAGCCTGGAGCCTGCTTCCAATTCTGTGTCTCCCTCTCTCTCTGCTCCCCACCCCCCACTCTATCTCTCTGCCTCCTACAAATAAAGAAACATTAAAAAAAAAAGATATTTTATTGTGGTAAAATATATATAACACAAAATTTACAATTTTAACTCTTTTCAAGTATACAAGTCAGTGGTTTTAGTTATGTCTGCAACCATCACAACCTATTTCCTTTCTTAAAATTTTTAACATTATTTTTCATTTTTGAGAGAGAAGGACAGTACGAATGTGCACACACTCGAGGAGGGAGGGGCAGAAGGAAAGAGAGAGAGAGAGAGAGAGAGAGAGAGAATCCCAATCAGGCTCCGTGCTCAGTGTGGAGCCCGACACGGGGCTCAGTCTCAGGACCAACCACGAGATCATGACCTGAGCCAAAATCAAGAGTGAGATGGTCAACCGACTGAGCCACCCAGGCTCCCCCATCACAATCTATTTCCAAAAATTTGCATCTCCCTTAAAGGAAACTGGATCTCATAAGCAGTAACTCATGTCTCCCTCCTTCCAGCCCCAAGAAACTCTAGTCTAGTTTCTGTCCCTATGAGTTCACCACCCAAGGTGTCTCTTAAAGGTGGAACCCTACAATCTGTGTCCTTGTGTCTGGTTTATTTCATTTGACATAACGTTTTTAAGGTTCATCCACATTGTAGCACGTTATCAGTTCTTCATTCCTTTTTACAGTGAAATAATATTCCATTGCAGGTGTACAATTTTTGTCTACCATCCTTCTGCTGATGTTGTTTCTGTGAGTTTTGTCTCCCCAGTAGATTTGCACTTTCCTGAAGGTAACAACCTTCATTCGGTCACTTCTGTATTAACCAAGAACCTACTCTTCAAGCAGACACACAATGCATATTTTCCCAACATAAATGTTCATGGGTTTCACACTCATGCCTTGGTCTATGATCGAATGAGTCTTATGGAATGAGCTTCACTATGCCCCAATTTATTTTTATTTTATGCATCTAATATTTTGTGTTTTTTTTAACATTTTTATTTTATTTCTAGGATAGAGAGAGACAGCGTGAACAGGGGAGGGTCAGAGAGAGAGGGAGACACAGACTCTGAAACAGGCTCCAGGCTCTGAGCTGGCAGTCAGCACAGAGCCCGACGCGGGGCTCGAACCCACGAACCGTGAGATCATAACCTAAGCGAAAGTTGGACACTTAACCGACTAAGCCACCCAGGCGCCCCACATCTAATATTTTGATACAACATGCTTATACCTGGAGAAATCATAGCCTAGATGACAGTATTAGGGGAGCAAGATACTCTTCTCTCCCCAAGGAACCTGGTTGGGTGTGGACGGATTTCTCTCTGTCCCACTGCTTTCTCATTATGCTCTGGATACTCATTCTCAGTTTGGCTTATCCAAGTGGGGACAACCCTCCACATGGGAAGAGGCCATATACAGTCCTTTGCCAGTCAGCAGCCAAGGCCATACACTTGTATGTGAGCCTGCTCTGAAAATAAAGAAGGAACGTAGGCTTTATGGGAAAAGTCGCCTAACGTAGGCTCTGTCTCCCACATTGCCCAAGACAGAAAAGTTTTCAAGCTTTCTATCAACAGCTAAGCAAACTCTATCCATATACATATGGTGTGGCTTCAAGGCTGCTATGGAATAGCACAGTGTGTCTGGCAGGAAGTGTTTGATTCAGACACATGGGGCAAGTGCTGGTCCTTCTAGGACACTCTTAACCCGGGGCTCGAGCACAGTAACAAGAAAGCAAAGCAAACAATAATTAAAAAGGTATTGTACTTTTAGTTTCCCTCAGGATTCTCAGGAATCAACTCTTCAAATATTCTGTTAATGCTCTCCGTTGCATCATAGACATTAGATGATCCATGGACAGCGTTTTTCAAAATGCTTATTCCAAAGCGGGCTCGGATAGAATCTGGGGACAGTAGTTTTGCTTCATCTGGATCTATGGGACCCATCAATCGTCTCCATTCCAAAACAGCATTCCACTTGGTCAGAATCATGACCAAAGACAGACCCCTGCATAGAAGAATACTTTCAGTAGATGTGGGCTATTTACACCCATAGAGAACCGCATACATGGTAAAGACAGAACGCCACACTTGGTCTGTACTCCTTGTCCTTATTAGTGTGATTTTGTGTTTTCTTTTCTTTTTAAGTTTTTATTAAATGTTTATTTATTTTTGAGAGAGAAAGAGAGTACACACATGTGAGTGGGCGGCGGGGCAGACAGAGAGGAGACAGAGAATCCCAAGCAGGCTCCCTACTGTCAGCACGGTGCCTGACACAGGGCTCCATCTCACGAACCATGAGATCATGACCTGAGCCAAAATCAAGAGTCAGATGTTTAACTGACTGAGTCACCCAGGCATCTCTTGTACTGTCTTTTGGTTTTTCCATTTCTCCCTCTTCCAATAGATTTTTGTGCTGAATGAGTGCTATAGTTTAATTCTAGAGATATACTCCAGGCACTGTTCCAAGTATTTCCAATGTACTAATTATATAACCCTCACAACAAACCTATGAGATAGATACTATTATTATCCCCATTTTACACATAAGGCAACTGAGGCACAGATTAAATATGTTGGCAAAGCAGAGACTGAAACCCAGATCATCTCTCTGTATAATGTTGAAGACCTAAAGAAAGAGAGGAAGGAAGGAAGGAAGGAAGGAAGGAAGGAAGGAAGGAAGGAAGGAAGGCAGGCAGGCAGGCAGGGAAGAAAGATGGGTAAAGAGAAGGGGGAAGGGAAGGAAGGAAACAGAGAAGAAATGAGCCCCAAATATTAAAAGGGTGTCTTTGAATGAATGAAATTACATGGGATGTTTTCATTACATTTTGTACCTTTTGGTTTCTATAATGAATATTTACTACTTTTATAATGCAAAGGACTATATATCAGAAACTTACTCAGATAACATCTCCAATACATCTTTATAAAAGTCTTTATTTTTTATTTTTGAATAAATTTTTTCTGTTTCTTCTTCATTTAGGTATATTTCTTTCATCTGTGTTATTTCAAATCCAGCCTCTTGAATATATTTCAAAATCTCCTCTAGGGAAAACAGATATTTGGTAATTTTGTAGAATGCCTCCACTTTTCTTCCATATTCAAGTAGACTGAAATAACTAAGGGCAGTAATCGTTTTACTTGCATACTGTGGCTTAAAAAGCAAAAACTATGCAAAATGAAATTGAATTGAAAAGCACCATGTTAATACACTAACGCAGATGTTCAATCTCCGAGATGCACCTTTCCAGAACGCACCGAAAATATCTCATAGACTAGAAGGAGGGTGGGAGTTGTATGCCTCTGTGCTGAAAGTGAAGAATGTTTTCAAGTCATTGCTACAAATGTCAAGGAACTCCTTGCTAGATATGGATTGAAGCGGGGAGCTGATTTGAACTCTTCTCTCTGAAGTAGCGCAAGGCACCATTGAGGGAACTGAATAAACCTTGTCAAAATCTCACCAGCCGCCTAAACTTTAAAGGCTATGTTCAGTAAGCCAACTGAGGGATTGGGAGCTTCCTGGTACAACAGTCTTTTCTTTGGTCCAGATCAAAAGCACTTAGAAGTGCTGTGCTGTTTTCTAAAGGTCAAGTTGGGCATAACCAATAGAAAGGCTGAAGAAGGCTGGACTTCTATAAAGGGGGTGACTGGGATCTGCCCTAGGGGAAGCACTGTGGGAATGAATGTGAATGGAACACTAAACACTTGTCTGCTCAGAGGGCCTGGCCTGGAAACACAGCTTATAAAGGTGGTCATTCTTATAAAGAGCAATGTGTAAGGCTCCTGAGACCACAGGCAAGTAAACCATTAACTCTCGCTGGGAAGGTCAGAGATGACTTCCGGAAAGGCCAACCCTTATGTTAAGTACAGAAACAGTCAGATCTGATCACCAAGCAGACAGGTAGAGAAGAACATTGTAGGCACAGTGTAGAATTTCTAAAAAATAATGTTAATGAAAACACTATGCATTACAATCTATGGGAAGGGCACCTGTGTGGCTCAGTTAAGCATCCGACTTCAGCTCAGGTCATGATCTCACTGTTCGTGAGTTCAAGACCCATGTCAGGCTCTGTGTCAAGAGCTCGGAGCCTAGAGCCTGCTTCAGATTCTGTGTCTCTCCCTCTCTCTGTCCCACCCCCGCTCTCTGGGAAAACTCTACCAAATCTTCAAACAGCAATGTCACTGCTGCTTAAACTCCCCCAGAGTGCCAAACACAAAGACATTCATATCTTTTATGAAGTTTTACATTGTTATTTAACCTTGCACAAAAAAATGAAAAGGGCAGACCAATCTCACTGTCAGTCTCAATGTGAAAAATCCCAAATAAAATATATGCAAATAGAATCCAAAAGCACATGTAAAAAATATCTCATGACTAAGTGTAATTTATACAGAAATGGAATAATGGCTTGATATCAGAAATATCATTAACATGATCTTTCATACTAATATATCTATGGCGAAAAACATCATCTCCATCAACTCTAAAAGGACTTCAACAAAGTTTGGTATTACATTGATTATGAGAGAGACAGAAAGAAGAATGAGGGAAGGAGGGAAGGAGAGTGAATATGACAAAAGTTAATTGTTAAATCTAGATTGAGGGATATGGGTGTTCACTGCATAGTTTGAAATTTTTCACAAGATTTGAAGGGAATGTGAACATTGAGTTTTATTTCTAAATATTTACCTCTTTGTTCCCGTGTTACATGAGGTTTAATCAGCGCTAAAGTCTGCTCAGGAGGAAAGAAATACTGGATTTCCTTTTCCGCCGTTTCTAACGAATCACTTCCATACAACTGGTTGATAGGCAAGCCTTCCACTGCAAATTGCACGCATAAGCTTTGAAAATGAAGTCAAGTTAAGAACCATCAGAGCAACACATAACACAGCATAAGCTAGCACAACAGAACACTATGTATACGAGTTGTTCAAAAGTTATCAGGCAATGAGCAACTCATTCCTGATCTAGGCATTATGCAAAAGGCAATGACAGAGTGGCTTAGAACATACAACTTCCTTATTAGGAGGTAACAGTCATTAGGAAGAAAGAACATGGACATTTAAATAACCATGATGTGAATATTTACAGCTAACTCTGAAAGAACGAAGAGATTCCTGGGTGCAGTGAAAATGCACTACCTGCTGGCTATGTGTCATTGGGTGACGAGTTAACCTCCCTGTGCTTGAGCTGTCTCAAATACAAATAATAAAACTGTTTTGGAAGGAGATTTGGGGGATGTAATCAGATGATACATTTAAAACATATGGTGCCTATTAAGCTCTCCTTATTCATTTCCCTTCTTTCATCACTAAATATTATCAAGCTCTAGAGATGGCATTTGACCGTAAAACAAGCCTCCCAAATCACAAACACTGAATCCAAAAGATGCCGCGATGGAAGCATCCAGCAGAGTATGTACAGTGATAAATGAGGAGCATACAGGATGGGTTCATGTAAAGAGGCAGGATTGAGGTTGATGGCACTGGCCGTGTTCTGTTAGGTGGTTTATTTCTGTTCTGCTGCCTTCACGATAGATGAACACATACACCTCCTCAATCACTTGTGCTTCTTAATGTGTTTTCAGCTGCCCCTTTTACTGTCTCTTTATCTATGTACATTTCAGTGGAGGACATACTTGCTCCTTATTTCATTTTCTGCCCTTTATGCACAGTCCTGAATTGCCAACCCACAAAATCCAGCTATAGCGAATAATGTCCTTTCCTGTTATAACCTGACTTTATTGGCCACTTGGCTTTCAGTCCTCAGACCCTCTTCCTGCCTCTCTGCTTCTACTGATGCATTCAGATTTCCTTTTTGCCCCATCCAACTTGAACTTCCCACTTGACCCTTGGCAGTTCTCACACCTCTGGTTTGAAGACGTTTGCAACCTGAGACCCTTGGAGCCTGTGATTGCCAGGGGTGGGGGATTTACACAATGAATGTATAAGGTACCACCGGCACTTACTCTGTCCAGCGCAGAGAACACCAACCAGCCCCTCCGTGGTGCTGTTAGACGTGATTATTGAGAAATGTGTGTGTGAGGGGAGGATAGGACGGAGGGAGTAGGTGATGAGCGTGAGGCGTTGCTGTGTTTCTCCTTTATGCAAGTGACCATGTTTCAGATTAAGCAGTGCAGTGCAGAATCTGATACTCAAGTAAACAGGTAAGGGCAGATCTCTGCTGAGTTATTCCAAAAGCAACCTGACAGAACGGGGTGGAGCCAAGGAAACTGGGAAAGGAGGAACCAATTAAAAAAAATAATAACAGTCAAGATTAACTGTGAACTTGTAGCAACACAGGGGTCATAAGGGCTTTGGTTTGAATCCTCACTATAATAGTCGGGGGCGGGGGGGCAGTTGCTGAGTGCCTTCCCCTGGAGAATGTGTCTCTGTGCTGGTGCACTACCTCCACACTTGAAACCATAATTTCTAGAACAGTATGGCTACAAGTGTAGGCCTTGTGTTGATGGGAATTCCTGCCTCGAATGCCATGCCTTTCGTTTCATTAAGAGATTCTATGACATTCTGCTCATACTACTTATAGACTGTCTAACCCTATTATCCTTTACAGTAATTGTAGGGCTAAATAAGGGGCAAAATGTGTCCATGCAGAGCAAGTCAGATTCCAGATTTCCTACCCAAAAGAAAACATGTCAACGTTTACATGTGATGCTTCCTTAGTACTGTCATGTATTATGCCAACATGTATAGCAAGTTGCCTGTATCTGATAGAGCATCTCTGTTCTTTCTCATTCCAAGGGTGGGCCTTTCTTCTCCTGAATTGATGTCTACCAAGGCCAGGAGATGGCCTTTTGGCTGGGTACTCACCATTTACTTCCCATCCCCACGCCAAGCATCCCACAACCTGCCTGCAAAGCCTTGGCTATATTCGGGCTGCCCTTGGGCTGGGCCTCCCGTCATAACCAGGGCAAGTGGTTTTTCTGCGAGCCTCTCTTAGACTGGAGCTGTGGCTTTCTTACCCATCTTCAAATCAAAATTAAAGAGTCTCCCATGAAAAGGGTTTGGGGCCCATGGTATGAATCTTACCTCTCTGGAAGATATTCCTTGGCTTTTTCAACAGTGCTGGGTCCAATTAACTCTTTCCAGTGTTGTAAACAATTGTCTCTCAATAAAACAAGGGCTAAAGATGGACCGCTGTTAAAAGAACAAAGGCTGTGAAGTATGGCTCTGTGGCTAAATGGTATAGACAATACAAGTCAAGATGATTCTTTTATCAAGACTCTAAGATTAATTTCCATTGGTGTACTGCCAAGAAAATACTGAGCACCTTATAAAAGTATGGAAGCAGACTGAAGAAGGGGAGGGAAAGACCTTGGTTCTGATAGATTGGTTCCTATATAGTATCCCCATATTCCTGCTGATTTATATACGCTTGCTGGATTTCTGTCCCAGCTGCTATTTCACTTACCCTTCTAGAAAGCTGACAGATTTCTAGCATCTTATTCTCCTTGGACTAGTGATCTTTAGGATTACCAAAAGCCCTGAGAGTCGGTGTGTTCTCTACTTGGACTTGACGTCACACACCTTGGATTTCTGGCATTCGACTCAGTGAATGAAGTCCAGGGACCACCTGAGCCTTTCCATTTCTCTAGTAGCACGTCAGGAGGACAAGAGCAGATGGGACAGTTGAGCAAAAAATCGAGGTGGGGGTGAGACTGGCAAATAAGTAGACTCAGCACATGTTTACAGAACTGAGGGGTGTGGCAACTTGACCCAGGCAGGGTCAGAAGAAGTGTAATGATTCAAAACTCAGTCAAATAAACCACAAGAGACTCTTAATGATAGAGAACAAACTGAAGGTTGATGGAGGGACGAGGGTGGGGGATGGGCTAGATGGGGGATGGGTACTAAGGAGGGCCCTTGTTGTGATGAACCCTGGGTATTACATGTAAGTGAGGAATCACTGAATTCTACTCTGAAGCCAACATTGCACTGTATGTCAACTAACTAGAATTTAAATACATAAATAAGACTAAATCAGAATGTGTCTTCTAAACCCAAAATCTACTTTACCTGGTCATTTTTTCGATAAGAGTTTCAAAATAATCTTCATTTTCAAATTCCTTGCATAGTGTTTGCGCTTCCTCTTCTGACAATACGATTGGTCTTTCCATCAGTATTTTAAAGCCTTCATCATCAATGATATTTAAAACATCCTCTAAATTAAAAGTCACATGATAAGTGTTAAACTGATGGGTTACTGGCTATCCATACCAGACAGAATGTATTATGATGGTGGCATATAATGCATCTCGTCCTCATATGAAATTTAGAAGTTGGCAAAAATAGGGGCATCTGGGTGGCTCAGTCGGTTGTGCGTATGACTTCAGCTCAGATCATGATCTCACAGTTCGTGGGTTCAAGCCCCCTATCAGGCTGTGTGCTGACAGCTCAGAGCCTGGAGCTGCTTCACGCTTCAGATTCTGTGTCACCCTCTCTCTCTGCTCCTCCCTTACTATAAGGCAAGCCTCAGACATGAAATGCACACAAAACTAAGAACAAATCCTTCCCTTTGACCAGTGAAACTGAGAAGACGGGACTCTGTGCTCTGAACAGTGTGGGGAAAACCCTGTTACTTTTTTTTTCCTCTCTCCCACTTTTTTCTCACATTCAGGAGGCAGTCTTAAAAGTAGGCTCTTGCCTGGGTGGCCCAGTTGGTTGAGCACCGGACTTTGGCTCAGGTCATGATCTCACAATTCATGAGTGGGAGCCCTGTGTCGGGCTCTGTGCTGACAGCTCAGAGCCTGGAGGCTGCTTCAGATTCTGCCATCTCCCTCTCTCTCTGCCCCTCCCCTGCTCATGCTCTGTCTCTCTCTCTCCTTCGAAAATAAACATTAAAAAAAATTAAAAGTGGGCTGTGCCCAACCACACAGGCTAAAAGCCCAGATACCCAGCAAGAGGGCAAAGAGCAGAGGCTTATGAGATAGACGCAGAGAAGGTGGGCAGTGGGGGGAAAGCGACTGCCTAAATTGCGTTTGAAGTAGTGGACTGATCAGCCCCAAGCTGGGGCTGATAAGTGGCAACGCAATAAAGGCTTGAGGATTGAGCTTCGAACTTCAGTATCGGGCGTCACTCAGGTCTCTGACTGATCTCCAAGCTGTGTAGTCCAGAAGAGCATACAAAACTTTGAAAAACTTTGAAACTGACATTGGAAATAACCCATAGAAAGTGGGATGGGACATGTGGTCTTAACTTAACCCGACCGACTGACTTCTAAGACAAACAAGAAATCAACATTTTCCAGAAGATTTTAACAAGATTCACCAGAGTCTCATAACACAATACTCAAATGACCAAGCACTAGAATACAATACAAAATTACACAACCTATAAAGAACTAAGCAAATCTTAGGGCACCTGGGTGGCTCAGTTGGTTAAAAGCATCCCTCCTTTGATTCTGGCTCAGGCCATGATTTCAGGGTTCATGAGATTGAGCCCCACATTGGTTTCTCTGCTGACAATGTGGACCCTGGGTGGGATTCTCCCTCTCCCTCTCTCTCCCCCTTACCCACTCACACCCACTCTCTCTCACTCTCAAAATAAATAAACTTAAAAAAATAACTAGCATCCTTCAAGTGCCAAGCACTTTATGTTTTCTCATTTTTTAAAAGTAAGCTCTACTCCCAGCGTGGGGCTGGAACTCACAACCCGGAGATTAAGAGTCACACACTCAGCCAGCCAGACGCCCCTCATTTTAATCTTCTGAATTTTACACATGAAGAAATAGACTTGGTAAAGTATCAAATCACACAATTAATGAGGAGTTGACCCAAGCTTTGAATTAGGGCATTTCAAGTATAAAGTCCAATCTTTATTATATAATAAGTCCTACCACGTTAAAATCTACTCTAACAAATTCAAATGTTAGAAGATAATTTGCAAACTCTTTAACTACAATAATGTTTTATTCTTTATCATTGAGAGATTAATATTAACTAACTTTCTTACTTCAGGTGTTCTTTTCTTCAATGTTAAATTTTAAAATAGTATCTTTTGGTGCAATTATACTAGGATTTATTTATACTTATTTCTTACCTTTCTTTTCTTGAAAGAGATCTGGTCGAAGTAATGCCAGGATCTTTTCTAATTTTAGGTTTTTCATATTTTTAAAATCAGGGAAGAAGATATCAATAAACTTCTTAACATTATCCATATTCTCTTCAACATCACAAAGCTGAGATATATGTTGTCTTTCCAGATATTCCTGTAAACTGTGGAAATCCAAAATATAATTTAAGATTATTATAAACTGAAGTTTAAGAAAATTAAAACTGGTAATAACTTCACAAATATTTTAATGGTTTAATAAAACAAATAAAAATTAAATCTCATATAAAGTTGTATCTTTCTATCAAATCTCACACACACACACACACACACACACACACACACGTGGGGGAGGGACAAAGAGGGAGGGAGACATAGAATCCGAAGCAGGCTCCAGGCTCTGAGCTGTCAGCACAGAGCTCAGTGCAGGGCTTGGACTCAGAAACTGTGACAGCATCACCTAAGCCAAAGTCGGATTCTTAACTGAGGGACCCTCCCAGGTGCCCCTTAAACCAATTTTTAAACTAAAAGTTGGCTGCTTCTAAGCATCACCATGTACCAGCAATTCTAAATAATGTTAGTGGTATATTCCTACTTCTTCTTGAAAAAAATATTTTCTCCACATTCTAAATAATTCCTGTGGTTAGTGTTAAATTTTAGTAATATATGTGTGGGCCTCAAGTTGGCATTTTTATTACTTATGTTTAATAAACAGTGTACTCTGGCTTGTATTCTGCATGTAAGAATCAATTCTAAAATAACAGAGCTATTGGCAGATTGCAATTTCAATTTCTGGAATTTTCCAAGCAACAAGAATTTAATGTATCTCTATTAACATCCAGTGAAGCCCAATTTTGAAAATGTCACTAGTAAATATTCTAAACTTAAGGCTTGCAAACAAAAATTGCAATTTCTGTGCTAGAATAATATGTATAAATATGCAGATTTTTTTCCCAACAAGAGCTGGGAAAACAGCTTCCCAGACAAACTTGCTCTCCACCGCTCCATGCTGTCTGCTGGTGGCCGCTGCTCAGGATGAGGAAGGGCCAAAGGCAAATGGAGTCTCTACGTTCAGGAAGGAAACACTTCAGACTTTGCCAAAGCCAAATTGACACATCTCACTCCTTCCCCACCCTGCCAACTGCCTACAATGTTCATCTTATTACTGAACAGTTGGAGACAACTGCTTCCCCAAGTCAGATGTGACACGGACTTCCCAGAACAGTGGCACCCGTGAAATAGTGACTTCTCTTACGCCAGCCGCATTAATGAGTGTTTCACTGAACATATTTTTCATGGCCCAGAAGTCCTGGTATGAAGTCTGGTGTCTAAGCGCAGCTCTCCCCACCAAACCTCCCCTCTGACCACTGACCATCATTCCCCCTTAAAACTGTGGAAGTAAGTACTACTGTTCACAAAGCCCTTGGTCAGCAGCCGACTTACCTATACGTCCCTCTATCCCACTTAAAACTTGCAACGAATGACATTAGTTCCTGCCACCTTAAAAAGCATGACATTGGTAGGAACCAGCAGATGTAGCTACTCAAGAAAAGTCACTACACACGCTAGTAAGACAACAAGGAACGTTCTGGAGATTCCTGGCTAGAAAATGCAACCGGGAGGCTCTGTCCAGCAGGAAGAGCCACATGATGAAATCTCAAGTCTCAGCTACTCTATACTGGTGCCTGCTCACCCACCTTTCTTTCAGACATAGTTCTGATGACTCACGTTAAATTGGACTTTCTGAGTCTTTGAGGGAATAAAAGATGCAAATAGCAGTGCACGAAACCAGCACCGTATATGTTACTTATATGCATTTCCAACTATTTAAAAACCCCATTAGTGAAAATATAGAATCATTTCGTCCTTAGCAATGTATTACCAACAATTACCGAAAGTAAAGGGGAGAGGACGTCTGATGTCTTTAGGATCCAGGGCAGGTGGCAGTGAATGTGGGGAGACAGCAGAAAAGAGAGAACCTGGCAGCGATTACCCGTGGTCCCAATCTACCCCTGGGGGGGAGGCCACACTGGTGCTGGGAGGCCACACTGGTGCTCCCAGTTTTAGAAGACAAACATAACCTCTAGTCCTCCTGACATAAACTTTCAGGGAAATCCCAGCTTTGCCGAACACACCTCTTTTTAGATCGACTGGAAGAAATACTTGTGGTTCCAACATAAAAACCTGTGTTCTTAGATGTTGAGCTATTTGGACCCTACACTTCATTACGTACTAATACAACACAAATGGAAGTTTCCTGGACTCGAGTTACCTGTCCCGCTTCTTCTTCGTCACTGCAGATGTGGCAACCTGATGGTGATGATCCTCATAGAATTTAGTTTCAGTCTCAGGATTGGGTTTAGTTTCTTCCCAGGCAGGCTGTTCTTCATTTCCTTGAGATATAACTAGAATATGGCACGGGCCACTTGTCATAAAAAGGACAAAATCTTCAAAGCCAGGCTACAAAGTAAGGGGATAAACTGCTTACTTCAGGCTTCTGATGTGAATAGAGGAAAATGGCAGTCACTATCCAACTCAAGCAATATCCTCCCCTTTACGATCACTGGGCGAGGGAGCTTTCTCTTCATAATCCCCCTGCTAACAAACACATCTCTGAAGGATGGAGGTTCACAGTTAACAGGTATCGACCTTAAAGATGATCTAATAACCATTCTCAAACTTCAGGATGTTTCCAGATCATCTGATGGGGCTTGTTAAAACACAGATTTGGAAAGTCCAATTTCAGAGTTCATGATTCATTAGGTTTAGGATGGGGCTTTGGAATTTGACTTTCTCAAAAGTTCCCAGGTGATGCTGAGGCAGCTGGTCCAACCTTTTCCTGGGGCCAAGAGAGATGGTTGCAGTGTCACACCCAGTTGGCAAAGTGCCGCCCACCAGAGCTTTCTCTGACGACAAAACACATTCTGTGCTCTCCAACACAGGCAGCCACGGGCGGCGATGGGGACCTTAACATGTGGCTCTTGCAACTGCAACTCTGAATATTTGATTTGATTTGATTCTAATGACTTTAAATTCAAACGGCCACAGGTAGCTAAATGGCTACCAGGCAGTACATTTCTGGAAGCTGGGTCTTCTGACCTCCACACCACTGTACTTTCAAACACAGCACTGTCTTTCTTAATACCTCCCTCCCCAGGCAAAAGAGACAATAGCTCGAGACATAGGCTTTTAGGTAATGAAAGGATTAAAGCTTCCCTGTGAGGTTTAGGACAAGGAGCCTTCAATTGGGGATAAAAAACTGCAGGAAAGGCCTGGATGCTGACTTCAGAGGCCGATGCAGGGAGTCTGAGAGGACCCACGTTACACAGGTCTTCCCTCCAAAAAATACAATCAAGCCATCTGCTTTTGCTCACCTGCCACTATTTCTACTGGAGATTTTTCTATCACTGCCTTCTTTGATATTATCATGATCCGGACACCAACAGGGACAACAGAAGCTTATTTGGTTTGTTAAGCTTCTTTGTCTGTTTTTCTAAAATGAGAATTCAAAACTTACAGGAATCTACTGTCTTTGAAAACACAATGGCTTTTTTTTTCTTCTAATTTTCTTACCTGGTCCGCTATTCGACTATAGAAGTCCCGCACTTGCTGTTCACTGAGCACTCTCTTGTCTTCTATTTCTATGACAAATCCTGCCTTGAGAATCTCCAAGTAGAGAGGAAGGTCAGATCCAGACGGGTCATGGGACCACATGTAAAACAAGTCAAGGACATTTGTTTCTTGTGCTTGACAAACCACCCGGGTTTGAACACATTTTCAGGTAAAATATTTCAGCATGATCCATAAGGCACTAGGTTTGAAGAGGCTTAAAAATACATTAACAAAGAAGGCCCTTTTCATGCCTCCTGGTATTTAAATTTTCAAGGCTTGAACCAGCAACTCCACAGTATTTCTATTATTTAAGTAACTTTCCCTCAAATGTGAAAGAACTAACTAAATTCCAAGGGAAGATATCGTGCTTTCTGAATCATTCATAAAGACACAAATTTATGAGCATTTTTAACCATCTATCTTCAAAATTGTTTTAACATTGTTTTTTAAAAGTCTTTCCTTTGTTGAGGCTGTAACTCATAATCTAGTATTGTTTATATAGCAAAAAACAAAACCTATCCAAATTATGGGAAAGGATAGAATTTAACATTTATTTGTGATTTGTCATTTAAAAAAAACCGTATTTTAATGATAAATCCAGTTTGCATGCCACTCAAGTATAGTAAAATGTAACAAAGACAAGTTTTGAGATAAGGCAAATCTAATGAGGTACTAAACAATGAAATATAAGTATAATCCGAGTTCAAAGCAACTCAGGAATTACATTAAACAATACCAATAATTTGAGATCTGTTTGCCCAAATGTCCATCAACTGATGAATGGATAAAGAAGATGTGGTTTATCTGTACAATGGAATACTAGTTGGCAATGAGAAAGAATGAAATCTGGCCATTTGCAGCAACATGGATGAAACTGGAGGGTATTATGCTAAGTGAAATAAGTTCATCAGAGAAAGAGAGATACCATATGGTTTCACTCATGTGGATCCTGAGAAACTTAACAGAAGACCATGGGGGGAGGGAGGGGGAAAAATGTTACAGAGAGGGAGGGAGGCAAACCATAAGAGACTCTTAAATAGCAAGAACAAATTGAGGGCTGATGGGGGTGGGTGAGAGGGGAAAGTGGGTGATGGGCATGGAGGAAGGCACTTGTTGGGGTGAGTGCTGGGTGTTGTATGGAAACCAATTTGACAATAAATTATATTAAAAATAAAAATAAATAAAGTAAAGTTGGGAAATATCACTTACTTTTTCTTTAATTTCTAGAGATTTTCTAGCAATCACGGCATCAGGTTTGATAATAGTAATACTGTATTGTGGCTCTAGGGAAAAAAATAGAAGAATTTCATTTTCTTGGCACAAAGTCTAGATAATGATGGATGTGGCAATTAGAAATGTAAACTATGGTGTACTTGGGTGCCTCAGTTTGTTAAGCATCTGACTTGGGCTCAGGTCATGATCTCACAGTTTGTGGGCTCGAGTCCTGCATCAGGCTCTGTGCTGACAGCTCAAAGCCTGGGGCCTGCTTCACATTCTGTGTCTCTCTTTCTCTCTGCCCCTCTCCTGCCGGTGCTCTGTCTTTCTTTGTCTCAAATAAAACATTTTTTAAAATGTTAATAGCAAGTCTAATATTAGCTGACCAGTCACTTACAAATGACACTAATGTCACCACCAGTTTTTTGTTCTTACAAGTAGTGCTGCAATGAACATCCATGTACATGAATCCTTTTCCGCTACTTTGAAGGAAATTTACCTACCAGAACTTTCATAGAGTGATTCCTCGCCATCTTCCGCATCTGAGTCCACAAACAAAATTTCATGATACTGCGGAAGAGAAATACAAATAGAAGTTATATTTTAATATGATAAGTTTTTAGAAACTTTGTTTCTAATAAATATCGATAATCCAACAGATAGAAGGTAAAGTGGGAATGTGGCTGCATTTATCTAAACTACTTTTCCCGATCTTTCCACTGAAATAACATAAAGGACGCTGAAAGTAATTGGGGTGGAAAGGCGATCAGAAAGCATGCATATATGCTATTTGGAAAATGATCAACCCCCAAAAAAGCCTTAAAATTTAAGAAGAGCACAAGGAATAAAATAAGAAAGCAGCAGACATTAATAAGTAAGAAAGTGATAAATACATAATTATTATGTTATAGATCAAACAGGCATTTGATGAGTTTCTAGATCCAATCCTGACCATAACTCTTGGTCAACTAGAAACAGCAAAAATACCTTCTTAACTTACAAAAAAAAAAAATTTGTATTGCCCAAAACCACAGCCAATTTTTTACTGTAGAGTAAAAAACTAGCAAGGATGGGGATGGGGTTGCCTTAATTTTTTGAGAAGCCCTTAAAGTGCTTCTGTGACTCTGTTTTGACTACCTGAAAGGTATATATATTTACATATATACATTTTTTGGCAAGAGAATGCATGATGTCAGAGTCTCACTGTAATAAAGACCCCCAAATGTATGGAAATGACTATACAGGAAGCATTTGTTCTTACTATAATCAGGAATAAGATATTTATCTCAGCTATAACTTCAGATGGATCTGACATTATATTTGCTGGATGTATGCTGGCCATAGGGCAGCCACTAACCACATAAAACTATTTCAGCCCTTGAAATGAAGTTAGTCCAAATTAAGATGTGCCATAAGTGAAAACTACACAGCACATTCCAAAGATTTAATATGAAAAAAAAAAGATTACATAATACCTTATTTTTTCTATTGAGTACATCCTTAAGGTGAAATCTTCCTAATACACAGGATTTAAAATTTTTAATTGCACTCTTTTCTGTTGTTTTTAATGTGACCAGTAGAATATTTTCAATTATGTATGTGGCTCACAACATGACTTGTATTTTATTACTATCAGACAGGGGTGTGCTAGATCAAGCAATTAGATAAGAAAACTAAATAGCAGAAGCATTAAACAAGATGGAATAATATAAACATATGAAAACATTTCTTACACTCATACCTCTATTAATCAAAACAGGATATCATTCTGCAAGAGCAATCAGACCAACAATAAAATAACCATGGAACAAAGCACACAAAGAGAAAGCTGGATAGAATATAGCCATTAAGAGTTTATATTTAGGAGTCATTCTGCTTGATATGAAATTCTGGTTTCACCATCTACTGGCTGCCTCTTTCTGGGGAAATGACTTAATGTTTTGAAGCCTTGTCTTATCTTTTGTAACTATCTCATAAGATTTCTTGAGATTCCCCTTCAAGATTGCAACACAGAGGGCTCCTGAACATACCTCCTCCCATAAACACATCATATCTACAGCAATATACAAAATATTTCCTCTGAAAGAAATCCAGAGCAAGTCTGAGAAACTCCTACCCACCTGGTAAATGAGAAAAACAATCCCACATATTGTGTAGAAGAGGCTGAGACACAACTCAACCATAAGGCTCACCCCTCACCACAGTGACACACCACTGGGAGGGAACAACCAGCATCTCCCTGAGGAGTAAAGGGTTGGGCTTAACATATAAAGCCCCCAATTTTAAGACTTTCAACTGAGAGATATGTTCCCAAAATACCTGGCTCTGAAAGCCATCTGGGGCTTGCGTCCACGAGTCCTAGGGGCTACGGTGAACATACAGTTCTTAACAGGTTGGTAAGGACGGGTTGTGGCCATCCTATCGAGGCTCAGTGCACCAGCAGCTCACTGACATGACCAGTTTTTCTCTGAAAGAAGCCTCTTCGAAACTCTTGAAAGCTGTAGGCTGAGAGTCAAGCTCCTAAATGAACACAGTCCTAGCAGCTAACTGCTTCCTTCCTGGAGACCAGGGAGGCCAGCAGGTGCCATCTTTGCACTTTCCATCTGCCCAGATCCAGGTGGCTGATCTCCATGTGAACACGCCTTGAGCACACACCTGGCACCCCACCCCGGCTTTTGTGGCCGCTCCCAAAGGAACATATCCCTTAATAGCCTGGGTCTGGCAGCCAGCAGAGCTGGTGATCATGTGTTCAACACAACCAACAATGGATAAACCATCCATATAGAAAATCAGTGAGAAGACTCTGGACTTACACTCTTTAGACCAGAGGGACTTAACATTTACAACACATTCTGTTCAAAAGCAGCAGAATACACATTCTTCTCAAGTGAACATGGAACGTTCCCCAGGATAGATTATATGCTAGGCCATATCAAGCATCTTTTCTCACCACAATAACAGGAAACTCAACTACAAGAAGAAAACTGGAAAATTCACATATCTGTAGAGATTAAACACACTACTGAACAACCAATGGGTCAAAGAAGAAATCAAAAGAGAAATTTAAAAATACCTGAGACAAATATATATATATATATAAAAGAGGGGGCTGCCTAGGTGGCTCAGTCAGTTGAGCACCAACTTTGGCTCAGGTCATGATCTCACAGTCCATGAGTTCAAGCGTCACATCAGCCTTTATGCTGACAGCTCAGCCTGAAGCCTGTTTCGGATCCTGTGTCTTCCTCTCTCTCTCCCCACCTTCTGCCTCTCTCAAAAACATAAAAAAATACTTGACACAAATGGCAATACACCACATCAAGACTTACAGAATGCTACAAAAGAGTTCTAAGAAGGAAGTTTATAGTGATAAGTGCCTATGCTAAAAAACAACAAAAAAAGGATCTCAGATACACAACCTAACTTCACACTTGAAGAAGCTAGAAAAAGAGAACTAATAAATCCAAAGTTAGTAGATGAAGGTAATAACAGAGATCAGAGCAGAAATAAATAAAATACATACTAAATAGATAGTAGAAAAATCAGTGAAGCTTAAAGCTGGTTTTTTGGAAAAAATAAAACAATTGACACACATTTAGCTAGAACATGAAGAAAAAAAGACAGAGGACTGAAATAAATAAAATTAGAAATGAAAGAGGAGACATTACAAAAGATACCATACAAATACAAAGGTTCTTAAGAGATTACTATGAACAAATAGGACATCACTATTGCAAAAAGTTATGTGCACACCCATGTTCACTGCATCATTGTTTACACAACCTAAGGTCCACGGATTGATAAAGATAATGTGGCATAGGGGCACCTGGGTGGCTCAGGTTAAGCGTCCAATTTAGGCTCAGGTCATGATCTCATGGCTTATGAGTTTGAGCCCCACGTCGGGCTCTGTGCTGACATCTCAGAGCGTGGCGCCTGCTTCGGATTCTGTGTCTCCCTCTCTCTCTGCCCCTTCCCTGCTGTGCTCTCTCTCTCTCTCAAAAGAAATAAACATTTAAATATTTATTTAAAAAAGATAATGTGGCATATATATGGAAATCCCACCATTTGGTGACAAAATAGATGGACCTTGAGGGCAATATTCTAAGTCAAATCAGTCAGACAGAGAAAGACAAATACTGTATGATCTCATTTATATGTATAATGTAAAAAAACTAAACATATCAATACAGAGAACAGAATGGTGGTTACCAGAGGTGGAAGGTGGGAAGAGGGGGAACTGGGTGAAGGCCTCCAAAAGTACAAACTTCCAGTTATACAATAAATAAGTTCTGAGGGTATAATATACAACATGGTGACTATAGGTAATAATACTGTACGGTATATTTGAAAGTTGCTGAGAGATTGGATCTTGAAAGTCCTCATGACAGCAACAGGAAAACCTGTAACTACAGGAGCTGACAGATGTTAATTAAGATGTTAATTAAACTTAGGTAGGTGATCACATTTCACAATGCCTACAGATATCAAATCATTATGTTATATACTTTAATACAATGTAATTTGTCAGTTAAACTCAATAAAACTAGGAAGGAAAAGATTTGTCAACATGAAATGAGGAGATCTGTTGGGAAATCTTAGCATGCCAACAGTAGGAAGTCCTCAGTAATTCCTAGTTATTACAATTTTCACAAACATGGAGGGGTGGGGGTGGGAGAGACACAGAAACAGAGAGAAGGGAAGGGGGGAGATTCCGTGACAAATAAGAAAGCCTGAAAAGTAAAGAAAAACGTCCTTGCATGAGAAAAATCACCATTATAAATGTAAATTCCCTATATTTGTCATTTGTCAGGTTTCCATCAAAATGTTCATTTTTGGGGGGGCACCTGGGTAGCTCAGTTGGTTCAGAGCCTGGCTCTTGATTTCGGCTCGGGTCATGATCCCAAAGTCAAGATTGAGCCCCTCATTGGGCTGTGCACTGGATGTGGACCCTGCCTGAGGTTCTCCCTGCCCCTCCCCGCCTCAAAAAGTTAATTTTAATTTTAAAGAATGTTCATTTTTTCCTTTTGTGCATACTATGGACATTAGCACATAACATAGCATATTAAACATAAAGTGCAAGCATTATCCCCCAATTTACTGCTCTCTTTTCACATTTTAGGGTGCCCTTCAAAGTTTTAAATAATCAAATCTATTAACTTCTCCTTTTTTGGTATCTGTTTTGTGCTTTGTTTACAATGCCTTTCTCAACATAGGACAATACAAAGGCTTGCCAATATTTTCTTCTAATACTTTAACACGTTTTTGTGTTCAGCTCTGCAATTGATCTGTAATTTATTTATGTATATGATATGATAAAATGATATATCTTTCTTATACAGTTGACCCAATATTTCTAAGCCTGTTTTATTGAATTTTTCTATCCTTTCCTGATTTAAACTGTTATTTTTTATAGCAAATATTTATACAAGCTTGAGCCTACACCTTCTCATTATTTCTATTTTCCAGTATTTCTTGGCTCTTCTCTACTTTCCGTCTCTTAAATTCATACTTTCCCTTTTTTCTGTGGTTGTTGTTGGTTTGGTGTGTGCGGATGTCTCGTGTGTGTGTGTGTGTGTGTGTGTGTGTGTGTGTACACGTGCATCTCTGTTTCAATAGCCCCAGTAGCTTTTATTTATTCTGATCACTTCCTCTGCAGCTTCTTTTCTTTCAGTATTATGTTCATACTTGCACATGCTTTGTAGCTTATTTTTCAATTTTTAAATACCTTTCATGACACAGACAATGTACCTCACATGCAGGGTCTTATTCTAAGTATCCTGACCAGGTGGTCTCTTACCTTCATTTGTCAATCTGCCTGCTCCTCTTTCCACAGCAGTACGTACAGAGCTAGAAGACGCTAAAATAATACTCTGTTGTATGGATCCATATACTTTATGACAAAAATTACGGACATTGTATGGAACCTATTCAGTGTTGTTCAACAGTTAGATTGATTTCAAACGCTTAACAGACAACTTCGCCATAAATGCCCCTTTCTATATTTGTTTCATTATCTTTGCAGGGAAAATTGCAGTGTAATTGCTCAGTCAAAGGATACATGTGTTTTTAAAGTCTTTCATACTACCAAAAAAAAATCTGTACCGTTTAGACACTTAGATGATTACAAAATTTGGGGAAATTCTTTAGGGAAACAACAAAACAGATGTGATGCATTTCTTAAGAATAAAATAGTCAGTAATCTATTATCTGTATTAGGTATTACCTGAGGGCGCACCATTTCACCTGCTTCAATTCTCCTCTCCTCATTGATCAAGTCAATAATTTTTTGATTAACAAGTGGTGCATTTGCACCATTGACCTTTGCAATAATTTTGCCGTTCTATAAGGGAAAAGAAAGCATAAGGGAAACTGTCATTTTCAGGATAAGTCCGGAATTCAACTTGACTAAGTCACTCCACCTGGCCCCACACCCCCGTCAATCCTTTAGCTATTACAAATAGCTATTTTAATCTTCTTTTTTTCTTCATGTTTATTTATTATTCATGTTGAGAGAGAGAGAGAGAGGGAGAAAGTGGGGAAGGGGTAGAGAGAGAGGGAGAGGCTGCACACTGTCAGTGCAGAGCCCGACGTGGTGCTCAGTCTCATGAACCAGGAAATCATGACCTGAGCCGAAATCAAGAATTGAACATTGAACCAGCTGAGCCACCCAGGCACCCCTGCAATTAGCCGTTTTAAAATACGGAATTGGTGATGCGAAATGGGACTTGATTTGAAAAACCCAGCTCTTTGAGTTCTACTTCCATGTTGCCTGACCTCCTTCAACCAAAGACAAGGCACCCCCGCACTACCTTCAACAGTTCTGTACGGGCCTCCCAACCTTGCCTTCCCCAATTATTTTTGACACTATGTCCCTTCCCATCCATCCCTCCACATATATTTTGCTAAAAACCTGTTTACTGGCACAGCACCAGGCATGACGGTGTGGAACAGCAGTCCTGGTACGCGGCCTAATTAAATTACAAAAAAAGGAGAAAAAAACCCAACAGAGACAAAATATGTAAAATGACAATCATGACAAGTACCACTAAGAGGGGTACAAAACACCAGGAGTATCTACAAGAATTTGTCCTGGTCAAGGAGATGAGCAAAGGTGCTTACCAATATCAGAAAGGGATTCTTGGGTTAAAATGTGTAAAATAGGTAAAAGATAAGCAGGCAAAATGGAAGGAAGAGTATTCTAGACAAAATGAATAGAGATGCAAAGGTCCTGAGGCCAGAAGGTAAAATGGTAGATGAAAAGGCCAGCTGAGAAAGCGAGGAGATGCCTGGTATGAGAAGAAGCCCAACAGTGAGGGGGAACCAGGCCACGTAGAGTCTTGTGGGTCATGGCACTGCACAGACTTTAACCCAAATGCAGTGGGAAGCCTTAAACAGAGGCAGTGCCCACAATTTCAACTGTTATTTGTAAAGATCATTTCACCTACCATGTTTAGAGTCAGAAGGGAGTAGGAGAAGATGTCTGTATACAAATTTGGGGCCATCCTAGAGGTGATGATGAGAGAGATGATTGCTTCCACTATCAGACCACACCACCTTTTAAGTTCACTGTTAAATGAATCTGTGCTTTCCAGGAGCTTCCTCTTGTTTTCCTGGTGTCTTTCCTCTATTTGAAGAAGCTCAGCTTCTAGTTTTCGCTGGTGAGCCATTAAGGACTGGGCCTGTCGTCTGGACCTGCACTCTAGCTCTTGTGACAGCTGACTGAACGTCTGGCACCACACTCTCACTAAGGATTTCACTGGTGAGGCGGTGGTTTCTCTGGAAACGGGCGGTGGCCGTATGCTTCACTGAAAAGCCACCATCTGTGGCAGTGGGATAGAGATGGAAAGAATGGAAAGATGCAGATGAGTGTGAGAAAGACTTGGGTAGTGAAACTGACAGGCCCAAGGTCTGGAGTCTATTGGGTGTGACGTAGAGAAAAGTCATGAAGCTGACTTTCCTGTTTTTGTCAAGAAAGTAGACGAATTGTTAATGACCAAATGAGGTGACACTTAGAAGACCACATTTCCTGGGGATGCGGGGAGAGTCTGGTGTTGGACCAGTACCTTGTGAGATGCCTTTGAGACAACGAAGAAGGATGTCAGAGCACCAGGTGGATACACAACTCTGGAGCTCAAAGGATAGGAATCAAGCTGAAGATGTAAACTTGAGTTCTTCATACATAGGTGGCGCAATGGAAACTGTATGCAGAAATTTTCTAAGAAGGATATTAGCATGATAAGATCAATATTTACTGGCTGAATAAAGAAATATAAACCTACAGGGCACCTGGGAGGCTCGGTCAGTCGAAGGTCCGACTTTGGCTCAGGTCCTGTTTTCATGGTTCTTGAGTTCGAGGCCCACACCAGGCTTTGCACTGACAGAGCAGAGCCTGATTCAGATTCTCTGTCGCCCTCTCTCTCTGCCCATACCCCCACTAGTACTCTCTTTCAAAAACAAATAAACATAAAAAAAAAAGAAATGTGAACCTGCAAAGGAGATGGAGGGGAATAACACGTAGGTAGGCAAAAGGGAAACCAAGTAACAAAGCCAAAATAAGCCAGTGTTTCAAGATGGAGGGCATGGTCCCCACATTCGATACATTTGAGAGGCATGGACCGATGAGTCTGGAAGTGTCCATATGTTTAACAACAGGCTGGTAAGTGGGTTCGTTGGCAGCACCAAATTTGCTTGAATAATCAGACAGAAGGCAGATTGAATGGGTTTGAGGAATTCATGGAATGTGAAAAAAAGTGGAGTGAAAATAAATATGCAAACTCTTCTGAGAAATTCAGCTATGAGATAAAAGAGATAGGTGATATCTAGAGGGGGGCATGGCACCAAGAAAAAAAAAGTTTTATTTTTTAACAGGAAATATTTAATCATCTTCAAAGGGCAATGAGAAGAAGGATCCAGTTGGGAAAGATTTAAAGAAATACTGACACCCAAGTTGCCATTTCCCACTAAAAGGAAACTTCCAACAATTCTGGGGGCTTTCTAATGTCCCTTGAAAAAGCCCTTCCTGCTGAAACTAACACAAAGAGCCACTGTGGGGTATTTATATAAACAAGGAGTGGCTTGATGGTGCTTTTGTGGTCACAGACTGAGATTCTTAGATAAAGGATTATAGATGTGGTGCACTGAAGAACAAAATCTGAGGCAGAACTACGTGAGCAACTGGTTGAGGTGCACTGGAAAAGAGTCCACTGCTGGTTAGGTCAGGAATGGAGAGGCCAGGACGTTGGGCGGGTGGCCAATGTGGATGTTGAAGTCCCGGGGGTGACGGAAGAACAGGGCTTGGAAAAGAAGCCTTTGAGACACAGGCCAAAGTCCTCAGTCATCGACAGAACTGATTTGAAGACCAGTAAATGACAGGAGTGAGGTCAGGGGAAGGGAGGTGGGAGGTGTAGCCAAATAGCTAAATTAGCAAGGAAAAGGCCTCTAATTGGCAAGGAAAATAAAGTTATTAAAGTGAGGAGTCAAGGGAATATCAAGTTTACTTCTGGCCTCAAGACACATAATCTGAGACACTCATCACCACTCTGGGCTGCAGAGAAATGTGTCCTCAGTAAGGAGCCAGATTTAAGGTAGGTTAAGGAAATGCAGTGAAGGCTCGGAGCCAAGACTAAAGATCTTAGGAAGTGTGCTAATCGCTTCTCTCAATTTCAGATGTCGCACAACGAAAGGGTCTGGGAGATTGGGGTAGAATTGGGAGAACTGGGCCAGGAAGAGAAAACTCCGAGCATTAGAAGGATGAACATTGCAGGATTGGGAAGAAGGGTGGACTCCTCCTCCCGGCACTGATTGCAGGTAAGAGAACGTGGACTCGATGGTCCAGTCTGGGGGGGGGGCGGTGATAGGTCTACTGAACAGACCTGACAACCTTGCAGGGTGATGATGGCGGTCCCAGAGCTCCAGACCCTACATGGTGGCCCCCCTGGCCAGTCTCTCTTCCTCAGTCCCGTGTTCCTAACTGCTACTGCTACTGGTCTCCTCATTGTTCCTAATATTTGCCCACCAAGCCCATTTCTTGGTGTTACTCACTCCGCTGCCAAAACTTTGCCAGGTCCAGGGTCAACGAACAGTGACCCGGCACAGAGACTGTATTTTGACACAGTTGAAAAGACTTACTGTCTGGCCCTTTACAGAAAAAGCCCGCTGATGCCTCACCTAAATCACCAAATCCTACATGTCCAACCAAGAGCAAGATCTGCAAGGCAATTTTTAATATTCAATTAACCCAGTAATTCAATTCCTAGAAATAGTTGCAAGGGCATTATTTAGTAGAAGCAAAAAGTTATATCCAAGAATTTTTTAATATTTATTTATTTATATTCAGAGAGAGAGAGAGAGAGAGAGAGAGAGAGAGAGTAGGAGAGGAGCAGAGAGAGAATCCCAAGCAGGCTCCACACTGTCAGTGCAGAGCCCGACATGGGATTCCCATCTCATCAACTGTGAGATCATGACCTGAGTGGAAATCAAAAGTTGGGCACTTAGCCAACTGAGCCACCCAGGTGTCCGTATCCAAGAAATATTTTAAAATAGCTACTTCTAAACCAAAAAAGTAATAATCAAAGTATCCAATAGCCGAGGAAAAGCCCAAGCCCTTACTGTCCCCACTTCTCTGCTTCTGTCACAGCTACGCTCTAATTTAGCTTCTACCTATATATACTCTCCTTTTACAAAACAGCCCTTACTGTGTCTTCCTGATTATTAAAGTTGTATTTCATCACGGAATATTTGGAAAAGATTAAAAAGTAAAAAGAAGAAAACTCAAATATGGCATCCTTCCCCCAAACATAGAAAACTGCTATTAACAATTTGGTAAATACTCTTCCTGTCTTCCTTCTATACAGTTGTACGTAGAGAGAGAGAAACACATATTCTAAAACAGTGATCATATAGATATTTCCTTGTATTCCTACACATGAATACTTAGAGCCAATTCTCTCCTGCTGCAGAGAAAAATTTCTCATTTTTCACTCCTGTAAATCATCATTCATCATACCGACTTCTGATCATTTCCTCAGAAAAGGTAAATACCATCCTGTTCTCTTCCCTGATAACCTCAGTGTGAGGTAGTCTAACCACCTCAACCCATTACATGCCCCTAGAGGTCAAGTTACAGAATATATTAATAGACAAAGAAAGACAAGGCAAAAGAAAAAATCTACAGTTACTATAATCAGAAAATAGTAGCACCATGGTAATTTTACAATGCTACTTGCTATTAACTGTAAATTGGAATCCAGTAATGTGTTTTAGATGAATATACTTACAACACTAAAGAGAAAAACAGGTTCACATTTATCTCTAAACGGCTGCAAAGCTATAATGCTGTCAGCTTCTGCCTGAAAAAAAAATATATTTTATATAATAATAAGAGACTATATCTAAGTCATTAGATACACAATGTTGAAAAAATGCAGATCACATAAAATTTTCGTTTTCATGTTTCTACAGCATTTTCTGAGTATGTTATATTTGTTCTAAGGTTCAAACTGCATACACTGGTGATTCAGGCCATGTGCCATTTATCCGCAGCCTTACCTCTCCCTGTTCACCTCTGTGGTGCCCAGCCCGCCACTCAACTCACCTACTTCCTGTTTGTCATACAACAGCCACGCTTCCCTCCCTCCTGGCCTGCTCTCGCCCTTCCTTCTCCGACCCAGGTCAAGCGTCCCTCCTCCAAGAATCCCGCCTTCTTCCCCCTGCTGCAGATCCTCTCCTGCTCCACACAGACCTGTACTGCCTCCCTCGGAGGCTCCAGGGTCCCTGTCAGCGCTGTCAGATGGGCCTAGCTCACTTCCTTTCACCAGATCCATGAGGTTTCATCTCCCCCCTTGCACGTCACCCTCCTGCGTCAATCATGGAGCGTACAGGGACCTCCACTGTCACCACTGTTACTTAACAGAGTACTGGAAGTCCTAGCCTTAGTGATCGGACAACAAAAAGAGATAAAAGACATCCAAGCCAGCAAGGAAGAGTCAAACGTTCACTCTTCACAGGTGGCATGACACTCTATGTAGAAAACCTGAAAGATTCCACCAAGATGGCTAGAATCGATATCCAAACTCAGTAAAGGTGCAGGATACAAAATCAATCGCATTTCTATATACCAATAATGAGGCAGCAGAAAGGGAAATGAAGGAACATTTCCATGTACAATTGTGCCAAAAACCGTAAGATATCTAGGAATAAACTTAACCAAAGAAGTGAAAGAGCCATACTGTGAAAACTATAAAACACTTATGAAAGAAATTGAAGGGGGCCCAAAGAAATGGAAAGACATTCCATGCTCATGGCTGGAAGCAAAAATATACTATCCGAAGCAATCTACATATTTGATGCAATCACTGTCAAAATACCAACAGCATTTTTCACAGAGCTAGCACACACAATCCAAAAAACGTGCACGGAACCACAAAAGACCGTGAATAGCCAAAGCAATTCTGAAAAAGAAAAAACTAGAGACCTCACAATTCAAGTTGTTGTAAATTGATTACCGGCAACTGTATATTAAATATTACTGTTTTCCTCCATATTAACATGGCATCCCTTGGGCCAGCGGTCAGAATGAGATCATTTGGTAGGGTCTTCTCTAAGAGATGGTTTTTGCACCCTAAGGCAATTGTTTTCAAACTGGGATTTCTGGAAGTTCTACAACCACTGGGAAGAGGCCAAGAAAGAGTCCCTCAGCCCTGTCAGCCAGAGACGCTGTGTTGTAATCTTTTTCTTTTTTTCTTTTTTTTAGCATACTGGAGTCTAATTTCTTTTCTTTTTTCTTAAGCTTTCAAAGTTTAGAAAAATAAAAGGAAGGAGGTGAATTTTACCTTTGAAAAATTTTTTTAATGTTTATTTTTGAGAGAGAGAGCAAGTGGGAGATGGGCAGAGAGAGAGGGAGACACAAAATCCAAAGCAGGCTCTAGGCTCTGAGCTGTCAGCACAGAGCCCAATGCAGGGCTCAAACTCACAGAGCATGAGTCATGACCTGAGCCAAAGTCAGACACTCAACTGACTGAGTCACCCAGGCATCCCTGGTTTTTAAGTCTTTTAAAACAACACTTAACAACAACAATAACAAAATGATACTGGCCATTTAGCTTAGGGTGATTTCAATAGTTAATCAAACTTCTAGGTCACTCACAATGGAAGTTTCCAAACTATATTAGTTTTTATTATCTTTTACGGGCAGGCCATAGCAAGAAAACCACATTAATTTATATGAATGTCCGATTGTTGAGCGTGCTCAAACATAACAAGAAAGACCACTCAGGGATGATGCACAAAATTTTTTTGTTAAGTTCAACACATGCAAGTGTTATGAATAGTAATCTGAACATATTTTGGGAAGAACTTACTAGCACTTCCCCACTGGACGGCTACAGTAATAGAACAGATTCCTTGTGGAGGAGGTTGAGCAATTCTGTCTGGCTGGGGTACGATGGGAGGTCACAGTCAAAGTTGCTGGGGTTGGGAGGAAGCCCTGTTAAGACCTGTATCCTCACACAGCTCTGAGCTGAGCTGAAACGGGACCCGAACAAACTATGTGATCTAATTCTCCTTCCACACTCATCCCTCCACCACCATAGCCATGCTGAGCTCACATGTATGGCCCAAGTTGGTTTCCACCCCGGTCCTACAAACAAAGAGGAATTTAATGTCTCTAAACCACCTGGGAACACAGATCAAGTTATACCTTCTCGGTGTCTAAGGACTTTTGGCCTTGCCTTCCTATGTCCAAGTTCCCTTCCAGGTAGCCTGACATGTACGCGGGGGGCCTGCCTTGTGGTTGGTGTCTCCCCACTGACCCCAGTTTCCTTTTAGACACTGGCATTTTCCCATGATTCCCTTGCACTCCTACCACTTCCAGGCAAACTTCTCCACTGCCAACTGCCAGGACTTGAGAATTTTCCAACCCTTGATTCTCCATGACCCCTTTGCCAGCTGTTAGAGCCTTCCGATACTGCCTTTTAACTTCTTACACCAACCCCTCGTCTACTGGATGTGGCAATTCCCATTAGGCCCCGTTCTCTGTCCTCTGAAGTTCATTTCTTCTCCCCGCCAAGGATCAAGGCTCAAATCGTACTCCAGATCCACTCAGGTGGCTCAGAGGAAAGAAGTTTTTAAATTTAAATTAATTAAAATAAAAAATTTAGTTCCTTGGGGCATCTGGGTGGCTCAGTTGGTTAAGCTTCCGACTTCAGCTCAGGTCATGATCTCGCTGCTCATGAGTTCAAGCCTTGCATTGGGCTCTGTGCTGATGACTGGGAGCCTGGAGCCTGCTTCAGATTCTGTCTCCATCTCTCTGACCCTCTCCTGCTCATGCTCTCTCTCTCTCAAATATAAAAAATAAAACATTAAAAAAAGTCAGTTCCTCAGTCACACCAGCCACATTTCAAGGGCTCAAAAGCGACTTGTGTCTAGTGGACACCATATTAAACAACAAAGCTCTAAGCAGTTGCTAACTTCATGTGGATAAATTGAAGCCCAATCAGTTTAGCTGGAATATTTTAATCCCTCGTCACATCTGGGTGGGAAATGAGAGAAAAATCACTATCATCGGATAATCGGTAACTGGGTTATTAAGTGACCAGAGACTTTCCCAATGCTACCCATTAAATGGCATTTGCAGCTTTTATTATAAAAGACACACACCCAACATACAGTTAGGTGAAATGAGACAGATCAATAGACAGACATCCGTTTTTATACTTTTCCAATGTTCACACCCATGGTGAACCATTTCAACACTAAAGGAATGGGATAAAAATCATGATCGTTCAGCTTGTTTCAGATCCAGTAGAACTAAATATATAGTAAAACTGCCAAGTAAATATTGTGCATTTCGAAGAGCTGACAGGTTGTTTAAGTTAAGACAGTCCTTAAGGGCAATACTGAAACATTTGAAAGTATCAAGAAAATAACAGTTTAGTGGAAAGGCCATCCTTACTACAACAAAATGCAGAAGTTCATCTTCGTTCAGTTCATTTTTCAGTTTTCTGAATAAAGGCTGCATGGCTTTGCACGGCCCACACCAGGCTTGGTAAACATCGATCACTGGAAGATGGGAATTATTTATGAAAAATCAGAGTCGAAGAATCCAGAAGAGCCGCTTATCCTAATGCTGGGGCAGGGGCGAGGGCACAGACGAGCAGGTTTTTAGGCTGTTCGTGGGGAGATGCACCCCGTGTTGGGGTGCCGTCTGGTGCCCTGGGCGGATCTCCAAATGGCGGGGCAGCGGGGGAGCCCCCGTACCTGTAAGGCCTCTGTTCTGCAACGTCTCATCCCACAGGCTCTGACTATTAACGACTGCCTGCAAGGAGGAAGGCGGTGTAAACACGTGCTCAGGCACCAGCGCCCCGAGTACAGGTCGTTGGCGACGTCACACCCACCTGTAGCTGGATTTCTCGCTTTTTGCTCGCCATTTATCCGCTGTCACACGAAAAAAAAAAAAGGGAAGAAAAATAGAAAATGTTTACGAGGAAACGTAAATGAGTTATTCTCTGTGCATTCAGGAGGCATCCCCATGGGCCGTACACGTCTCCCCGGGCAGTGCTGGGTCATACACGCCTGTGTTCCGGGGAGAGGGGCCAGCGCCCCGCAACGGCTCGTCGGGCCGGACGCACGGTGAGAACGTGAGGAGGCCCCGCTCCTTAAAGGGCCGTTTCCCCCCGTACTGTGATCCTTGCACACGTGTGAATGTGGAGCCGCCGACGGGCTCACGGATCCGGGTTTGAGTTCCAGGCCGGGGCCGCTGGAGCGTTCCGCGGCGAGAAGCCAGCGGGGCCCCCGCTCCACAGCGCGGGGCGCCCCGAGGGTGACAGCAGCCCCAGCACGGGACGACGGGGCGGCCGGGCAACTGCGCCCCCCGAGCGGCGCCGCGTTCTCCAAGCCTCGCACACAGCGGAGCCTCCGCTGAGGCTACGCGGGACGCTTCTGAGGGAGGGACACTCCCTGGGGACCCCGACCGGCGCCCCGGGGGAGGCCCGCGGCTTCTGCGAGCACGGCTCCCGCGGGCCCGGGTACCTGGTGCCGGAACAGGCGCGCAGCTTCCCGCGGAAGGGGTCGGACGGAGGCCCCGGGACCGCCCCGCAGGGGGCGGGGCCAACGGCTGCACCAACCCCCGCCGCGGCGCCGCGAGCCTGGCCCCGCCCCGCGGGGGCGGGGCCGCGCGGCTCCCAGGAGTCTGTGCGCGGGCGCTGGGCGGCGACGTGCGCCCGCCGTGGAGCCGCCAGCTTCCCGCGCTCCCCCGGGGAGACCCGCGCCGCGGTGCCCCTGCGCCTGCCCCTCCGCCCCGGGCGGCGCCCTCCGCTTCAGGTGGGCCTCTCACCTGCGGCTCGGCGGCAGCTCTCCCGGCCCCGCCTCTCCCCCTGCGGGGCCTGACTTACGGCGGAACCGAATCCCTCGGACTGGCGTGGGCGGTTCTCTGGAGCCCAGCGCGGCACCCCTCCCGGCGCTGCGCCTCCTCTTTCTTTGCCTTCTTCTTCCGTTATTTGGAAATAGTTTCAGACGCTGGGGCGCCTGCGGGGCTCAGTCGGTTAAGCGTCCGACTTCGGCTCAGGTGATGATCTCACGGTTCGAGGGTTCGAGCCCCGCGTCGGGCTCTGTGCCGACAGCTCAGCGCCTGGAGCTGCTTCGGATTCTGTCTCCGTCTCTCTCTGCCCCTCCCCCGCTCGTGCTCTCTCTCTGTCTCAAAAATGAATAAACTACAAAAAAAAAATGAAATCCACTCATCTTTAAGAAAAAAGAAAAGAAAAGAAATAGTTTCAGACGTTGAGTAAGTGACACACAGAGCTCCCACACCCCTCCCTTAGCGTATCCCAAGGTCGGCGTCTTTCAGGACCATCGTGCTGGTATCGTCGAAGCCAGGAAACTAACATCAACCCAGTACGTCCCGGCGCCGCACAGACCTGATGCACACTCTTTCCCGTCGTCCCCCGCATGTCCGGTTTCTGGTCCAGGATCCACCCAGAGCCCTAGATTGATTGCGTGTAGCTGTCAGGCTTCCTTGTTCTCCTCCAACCTGGGACAGTCCTTCTGGGCCGTCTTGGTCTTTTATAACCTCGACGTGTGTGTCCTATCGCTTTGACGTGTGTGTCCTATTTATTTCATTGTGTACAATTGCATTGGTAGAATTTATATCAGGAATATTTTTTAACGTAACTTTCTTCTTAAAATATTCTCCCTTCTTTTGCCAAAGTATGTCCCTTATACTTAACATCTTTTTCAATTTCCTCTATTTTTTCGTATTCGTAGAACATGATTTGCTGTGTCTGCTGACCATCCTTGTTGATCTTTTTCCTTTTGGTGTCGTAACATCCGCCTATGAGCTCGTATTTAGGAGAGATCGCTTTTCCAGTGAGCCCCTGTGTCAGGACTGTGGAAGTATAGCTCACAGTGCTGGCTTATGTGCCTTGCTTGGCCCCAACAATATTTAGTGTACCAGATAAGTTGTGTGTTAATTTCTTAGCTTATATTTCCTATTTTACTCAACTGAAAATCTGAATCCACATCTATGGATAGCACAATTCCAAGACCTGAATTTCTCATCAATGACTTTTTATCCACTTAGAATTCCTATGGATGGCAAGCCTCCTTGCCCTTGTTACCAAGCCAGCTGGGGGAGAGGTGTTTATAGTCCCATTTCAGAAATGGAACAGCCCATCTTTATTTCCAGCAGCATCCAGGTAGTTGCAGCTACCTTTGAATATGGACATTGAGCCCTCGACACCGAACCCCCATAATGTGTGAGGTGCATATCAGAATCCCAGCCCCACCTGTTAAGGCTTGCTCTCCAATCCAGCACTCTAGTGTATCCTTCCTGTTTCAGGCATGCTCACCTCTACAATTTCAATTTCCTGTTTTTCTTTCCTAAATATTTCTTCCTCTTAGTTTTCAGCTAAATGAAAAATCATTGAAAAAAATTTTAACTGTGTTATTTTATTCAGTATTTCCACATGTTTAGACCTTCACTGGTCATCTTTCTGCACTAGCTTGTTCAGCCACGGTGGCTGGAAATTAATCTGACTTTTCATCTCACACCTCCCCTGTGGTTTTATGATTTTTAACTTCGTTTAAAAATCAACTCTTTTCTGGCTGGAACCATGGAGGGTGCAAAAGAGAAGAAAAAGAAGGTTCCTTTTGTGCCAGAAACCCTTAAGAAAAAGAAAAAGGGAAGGAATTTCGTAGAGTTGAAGACCGAGAGTCTGAAAAAAAAGTTTGCCCAAAAGATGCTTCCAAAGACACAGAGGAAGCTTATCTATGACAAAACTTAGCATTGCCACAAGGAATATAGGCAGATCTCCAGAAGTGAGATTTGAATGGCTCGGAAGGCAAGTTTAAAGCTGGGAAGTTCTACATACCTGCAGAATCCAAGTTGGCATTTGTCATCACGATCAGAGGTATCAATGGTGTGAGCCTAATGGTTCAAAAGGTGTAGTGGCTTCTTTGCCTTTGCCAGATCTTCATTGACACCTTCTTTAAGTTCAACAAGGCTTTCGTTAACATGCTAAGGATTGTGGAACCATATGTAGCATGGGGGTACCCAAACCCGAAGTCAGTGAATGAATTGATCTACAAGGGTGGTTATGGCGACATCAATAAGAAGCCAATCATCCTGACAGGTAACACATTGATTGCTCGATCTCTTGGTGACTCTGGCATCCTCTGCATGGGGGACCTGATTCATGAGATCTGTACTGTTGGAAAACATTCCAAAGAAGCAAACTACTTTTTAATGGCCCTTCAAGTTATTTTCTCCACAAGAGGGAACAAAGAAGAAGACCACCCATTTTGTAGAAGGTGGAGATCCTAGCAACAGGGTCAGCCAGATCAATAGACTTATTAGAAGGATGAACTAAGGTATCGACCATGATTCCTTTTGAAATCTGGTCAGTTAATAAATGACTACTTTCAAATCAAAAGAAAATTCAAACTTTCCTCAAGTTTTCTTAGTTTCCTCCGGTAAATAATTTTCAGAGAGAATGTTTCTGAGCCATCCTTAACCACTACCTCTCCAGTGGTCTTACTTTTTTTCCCCACTGCCCCCATAATGAAGGTCTTTCTCTTCACCATTCATCAGAGTGAGACTGGCTGTATTTGGATAGATAAGGTGAGTGGCTTGATCTGGGAATTTTTTGTGTCCCCTTTTACTGGGGAAGAATTCTCTAGTAATATCTATAGCTGGAGTATAGGTAGTGAGTATCACTTCAGGTAAATCCCCTATCCTCAGCAAGTTGCACATAGGTCACTGTGTTCTACCGAGGTGGCATCTTTCTTGTGGCCTTTTTATTTCTATGGTTTGCAGGAGAAATAGCTGCCAACATTCCCTACGAGTGTTCATCTTGATTCTGAGGAACGCACCTCCCATCAGCCCTGCCACACTCACTGTTTGTCTTTCCGATATGCTTAGCTGTTTCTTGGTATTAAGTTAACTGTTAGCTCCCTGGTTTCTGGAGCCCATCTCGCAAGCTTTTGTGGTTAAAGCCCAGAAAGCCATGTGGTAAACCTTTGGGAAACCTAAGTTTTCCTTCGGGCTCCTGTTGACAACAACACGGGTGTCACAGACCATCCTCTTTAGGGATCTCTTTCTAATGCCAAATAACGAGTTGGGCCAAAGATCAACCAAGGGTCAATTTACCCACATGACATCCTGAGTCTGGTGGAATAGCAGTTATTAGAAATGTGTGACAGTCCTTTTGAAATACCAGATGGTGAAGTGCAGTGATAATATATACCCTTCATATGTATCCTTGATAGGGGAAGGTCCTATTAAGAAATCATTCTATAAGTAATTCTCCTCACTCTGGGAAGGAGAATCCTGTCTACAAAGGTCCATTGTATCCCTTAATCTTTCGGTTGCTTCCTGCATCCCAAGTATGCTCACATCAGTTGGAAGTCTTTGTTAGTAAAATTCTTTGCTAACCCAGAAATACGTCATTGTGCCAGCACCTAACAGAAAGAATTTAGCAGGTGTCACAAATGTACATGCACTAACTTCAAGCAAGTTCTTCACGTAACATTTTTGCTATTTAAAGGAAAACATCACTGATACAACAAGAAGCTTCAATCTAGTCTTAAATGAGCACAAACATTTACCAGCGATCAAGACATGCAAGGCAGTCGGTGAAATCAGGTTTTGAAACATCATTCCCACTAACTGCAAAAAACTTGAATGTTGAAGCTTCAAAACATGAACTTGGTGAGCTTTTGCTTTGGGTCTTCCCAGAACAGACTTCAAGGACAAATGCAGTTACTTAACGATAAAATGTATTTATATTTATTATAGGAGACGGGAAGTTATAAATGCCAAATAGCCTTTGAGAGATCTTACTCCTGAAGGTATCTAATAGTTCATTTTTCTCCTTGTGTATATTTGACATTGTCCTTTTATGATTCATTAAAAGCATTCTCTCCTATGCTGACTTGCCTTTTTTCCCCACTCACACAGCACCATATATAGTGTTCATATTTTTTTCCTCCGGTCATAGTTTTCCTACAACGTTTCTCATCTGTATATTCTCTGAATCCCTAAATATATATGATAAGCCAGAGAAGAACTGGGTTGCAGAATTATTTTTGCTTTATTCTCTCTCTTGAGCTACTTATACATAAACACTCAAAATTTGTTAGTGAATTAGTGAATTTGAAAATAGCAGATATTCTTGACACATTCATGTGAACTCTTTAATGAGGATATACTAAACCTCTATTTTTAAATTCAAGCAGTCTGGCCCAGATGGGCTATATAAAGTAGTCTGCAATCAGGTAGACTATAAAGAAAATAAATGGCTTAGGGATTTACTCTAATTCATCACTTTAGCCAGAGATAGAATCCGACTAGTCTTTCTAGGAGAACTTTATGCAATTTTTAATTTATATACCCTATTTTTCTTAGATCGAAGTTTCCAGATTCTGAATTCCAATTTTAATTTTTTTAATGTTTATTTATTTTTGAGAGAGAGAGAGAGAGTGGGTTAGGGGGAGGAAGAGAGAGATGGAGACACAGAATCTGAAGCAGGCTCCAGGCTCTGAGCTGCCAGCACAGAAGCCGATGCGGGGTTCGAACCCATGAACCGTGAGATCATGATCTGAGCCAAAGTCGGACGCTCAGTTGGCTGAGCCACCCTGGTGCCCTTGAATTCCAATTTTAAATATCATCTGAATAATAGTACTGAAGCATTTATTCTCTCTTTCCATTGACAAAATGAAGCCTCTGAAAATCATGAAAACTCATAATATTAAAAATTCACATTGAAAGAACGTATTATTACTGTAATCTATTGGAAACTGCCAGATTGATAGATCTGGGTTGGGAAACTCATTCTGTGTAGTCTTTAAGTCAGAGCAAATCTGCTTGCCTGAAATTAATCAGGATGAGGCTTTGAAAATCGGATCTTCCTCCCTGTTCACAGATTCAGAATTGCAATAAACCACAACAGCTGACTACCCTTCTGCACACCCGGCCCTGATTTTTCGGGCAGTGGGAATATTATTTTCCACACGTCATGATATTTCTTGCTACATTCACATAAAGCCATGATTCTTAATAAATCAGACGAGGAAAGAAAGGCAGGTGTGGGAGAGTGGCAGAATTACCTTGTGACATCTGAGCCGTCATCAGTGCTGTGCTGGTAAAGGTTAACAACTAGCTCTCTTGGAAATTATTACAAATTTTTGCAAATTTTACTGGCCTAAATAATGTGTAGCAAAAGGTAACAAATAGCTAGAAATATACGAAATTCCATTGCAAATTCCACATAACCAGTTAATTTTTACGGAATGTTTTCACTGATTTTTCCCAGACTCTTGCATTCAAAGCCTATTTATAGTTGCAATTCATTCACAGCTTCCCAGATTCCAAATATGAATAAATACTTGGCCACTTTTGCCATTAAAGTCATGTTCAATGTAGAAACATGTCTAAATATCGGTTTTCATACAGTTTTATCTCCTTACCATGAGTGGCTTCAAAAAAGTAGTCATTTTCTCATTGCTTTTAAAATATCACTCTAATCTTGAACACACGGGTAATGTTGATTATGTTTTAAAATATATCTACTGGATGGCAAAATACTGACAAACGCATGTCCTCAAATTTGAAACCCTTATTGCAAAATAAAAATAAGCTTTCGCAGGAGATAGCCAGTAAAAGTCTATGTGGGAAAACCATTGTCATAGGTAGGTTCTCTGCCTATGAAAAAAGCCACAGAAAGCATCGCAAAGATTCTACTATTTTAAGAACATGACTTTTGGCTAACACTATGGAATATGTTAAGTAACTTGGGCAACCATGGGTCCATAAGTTGTTTTGGAATGGACACAGGAGCCTGTCAGCATCATTCAGGAATAATCATTGTATTCAGGATTTGTACCACCTGGTTTTGCTGGAGCTCAGGAGTGAAGCGTGAAAGGCGAGAGGAAAATCAATGGCCACATGTAGCTAGGATGTGCCTATGTGGGACCAGCTGCCTGCAAGAAACACTCAACAGAACTTGAGCTTCCTGGTGCCTCTGCATGTATGTGGGTGGTTAATGACCTAGAGACAAAGCGTGTACTCTGCAACACGGAACCAGAGGACAAAGAAGCCTTTGAGAGCCCTGCTGATAATGAGTACATACATATTAACAAAGAATAATGTCCTTCTCATTTTTTCAGGTTAGAAAATAAACACAATTAGAAAAAAATCTACCTTTTTCTTCCTTTTGTTTAATGTTTATTTATTTTTGAGAGACAGAGACAGAGCATGAATGGTGGTGGGGCAGAGAAAGAGGGAGACACAGAATCCGAAGCAGGTTCCAGGCTCGGAGCTGTCAGCACAGAGCCTGAAGTGGGGCTTGAACCCAAGAAATAGGACATCATGACCTGAGCCAATGTAGGATGCTCAAACGACTGAGCCACCCAAGTGCCCCTTTCTTCCATTGTTTAAAATTTGTATTTATTTTTGAGAGAGGGAGACAAGGGGTCCTAAGCAGGCTCTTTTTCTTCCTTTAACCTCACAGATTATTTTTGCACACCTCAGGGAAGTTGTCTGAAACACACTGGAGACTCCTAGATATAAAATCAAGATATTCTCAAAATATCTGGGCAGGAGACAGAGATTTGCAGATAACTGGCATATTAAGGACATAGGAGTAGAGGTGATGCCTTCCCCCTTTGCTGCCCCTCCCCCAGGAAAGTATGTCATTTGAAAAAGTGAGGCCCCAAGAGGGTACACTAGGAACATCAAGGTTTAGGAACAGAAAAAGTGAAGTTAATGAAGAAAATTGAGAAGGAATAGCCAACACGGTAGAAGAACCAAGAGCAGATAATGTCATAAAAATCAAAGGATGAGACAACTGTAAAGGCAAGAACTGTCAACATCGCGAAATGCTACAGAGTGGTCCAACTAAAAAATGGTCCAACGAAATGTTGCTCACGTGCACTGAACAACAAAGAAGGCAGTGTGGATGTCACGAGAGTGTGTTCAGTGGAGTGGCCTGGGGAAAGTCACTGGAGGGAATGTCAACTGAGAAAGCAGAGGCAAAGAGAACCAACAGCTCTTTCCAGAAACTTAAGGATGAAAAGGGGGATGGTTGCCACAGGAATGCGGGTGGTGGCAGGCTGGTTTAAGTTCCTTTTCAATCGAATGGAAGAAATTTGCTACACTGTATTTAAATGCTGATTTTTAGAAGTCAGGAGGGCAAAGGTTGAAAAATAGTAGCCCTTGAGGATATGGGAAAGGACCCCAGAGGAGAGGAGTGAAACTCCTCCCTGTAGGACCAAAGAAATGTTACAGTAAGTTTCTTGTCTCCTGTTTTTCTCTATTTTATACATATTTATATCAAATATCTTATGCTTTTACTGACTTTTCTGCCGTCTGTAGGCAAATTATTTCTATTACAAGTATCTTAGATGTTCCGTACAGCCTGGAAATGTTACCATTTAAGAAGTCTATACCCAGGGGCTCAGTCGGTTAAGCGTGGGACTTTGGCTAAGGTCATGATCTCCTGGTTTGTGGGTTCCAGCCCCACTTCCGCTTCCGATCTTCTGTCTCCTTCTATCTCTGCTCCTCCCCTGCTTGCACTCACTCACTCTCTCTCTCTCTCTCTCTCTCACTCAAATAATTATTAAATAAGTATTAAACAAATAACAAATAAAATTGATACCCATAAGCTATATTTTTATCCGGTCAGTCCTCACCAGCCCCTAAGGACCTGACTTTATTGTACTCGCTGACCTTTGTCCCACTTTTGTCCTCAAGCTCTGCTTTCCAGCTTAGCTCTCAAGTCAGGCAAAAAGAAAGCAAAACTGCCTAGAGCAGAGCGACTGACCTTCCCAGCCCTGCAGCCTGGAGTCTGCTTCAGATTCTGTGTCTCCCTCTCTCTCTCTGCCCTCCCCAGCTTGCACTCTCTCTCTCTCTCAAAAAATAAACATTAAAAATAATAAAAAATAAATAAAATGGGAAGATTTACAACAGATGGATGACACAAAGAGGTTGCAATTCTAAAATAATAATAATTAAAAAAATCTAATGTGACATCGGTGTGCTAATTGGAATGAATTGCGGAAGAGAAACCGGAGATAAGATAGAAACCTCTTGCAGCAACCCAGGAGGGCTGGGCTAAGGGCCTAAGGGAAGGCAGAGATCACAGATAAGGGGCAAAAAAAGACTTATGATATATTTGGGGGTTGGTATCAACAGGACTTGGGAAGTAGCACTTTGCAGGGGTGAGCAAGGAGGAGAAACCAAAGAAAACTCTAAAGTTTCAGATTCGATGAGTAAATAATGAAGGATGTAAAAAGAGCTATCAGAACGTGAGGGAAAATCATGAGTTCAGGGGTTTTAGGATGACACAACAGAAGGAAAAGACTAATGAGTCCAATCATTATTGCCAGTTAAGTCAGGATTATTGTGATCCATGTAATTAGTGAATCAGGGAATTAGAGAGCATTAGGGCAAAAGCGCCTGAGTCACAGCTGGGTCAGCCTTGCTCTGCGCAGTCAGTAATTTGTGAGTATGTAATGTTTATTACCTGAAGGCTTTTTCTTTTTTTTTTTTTAATGTTTTTATTTATTTCTAGGAGAGAGAGAGAGACAGTGTGAGCAGGGGAGGGGCAGAGAGGGAGATACAGACTCTGAAACAGGCTCCAGGCTCCGAGCTGGCAGTCAGCACAGAGCCCGACGCGGGGCTCGAACCCACGAACCGCGAGATCATGACCTAAGCCGAAATCAGACGCTTAACCGACTAAGCCACCAAGGCGCCCCACCTTAAGGCTTTTTCTAACTGCCCCCCCACACACATACATTTTTTTGTGTGTGAAATTCCCATGAGGCAATATTGGGCAGTAGGAGTCTTTGTGACCTTGGGCAGGTTTCTTAACCTCTTTGTAGTCTGGTGTTGTTCCTGGAGATGATAATAGAACCTATTTAATCACTTTTGTGAGGATTCAATGATTTATTTAAAAAGAAATTTTTTTTTTATGTTCATTTATTTTTGAGAGACAGAGCACAAGTTGGGGAGGGCCAGAAAGAGAAGGAGACAGAATCCGAAGCCGGCTCCAGGCTCTGAGCTGTCAGCACAGAGCCCAACGCGGGGCTTGAACTCACAAGCTGTGAGATCATGACCTGAACCGACATCAGAGGCTTCACCAACTGAGCCACCAGGCGCCCCACCAAATGCTTATTTGTGTCACAGACACCTCTGGCAGCTGAGATCAGGGACGGCAGTGGGGCGAGCAGGGACAATGGGACTCTGTTGGGAGGGCCCAGGCTAACCCTCCCCACACACATTGTACCGCATCCGATTCCATGGGTGTCTATCGTCCGTCCTCCTCTTCCCAATATATACAAAGATGTTAAAATAATAACACTCCGCTATTGGCAATGTGCCCTTGCCTTGCCACTGCTATTTGCACCTGATGCAATTCCATTTAATTTGTGTAGCAGCTCTCTGAAATAGGTTCTATTATTCCCATTTTGCATAGGAGGAAAATGAATTTCAGAGAAATACAAGGCCAATGTCCTGCTGGAAAAGGGTCCTCAGGTACGGCTCTAGGTGGTCTCTGGATAATCTGATCTGTGCTGATGTATTAACCATGAGCCATGTACAGCTGCAGAGATGCAACTACTCAGAATTAGGATATGCGACAAGTGTTAAATACACACTAGAGTTTGAAGTGCTTAACGTGGATAAAATAATGCAAAAAATCTCATTAATAATTTTTATATTGCTTACTTCTTTAAATGATAATATTTGGGACAGAATGGGTTAATTAAGCATATTCTTAAATTCAACTTCACCTTTTTCTGTTTGCTTTTTTAGTATGGCACTTGGAAAATTTTAAATTGCATATGTGGCTCACCTTTGTGGCTTGCATCACATTTCCACTGGGCAGCACGGACCTAGAATTTCATTTTTGGTGAGTCATTAATTGTCCCGAGTTGCATAATGAGATGCCCCCCAAATCTAGTGGCCCAACTCAACCATTTCATTGCATGGATCAGGAATTCAGGTGGGATTGGGTGGGCCACTTCTCAGCACCGGGTGACGTGGACTGGGGTCACTTGGTGGTATCCACAAGGCAGCTGGGTGGTCTCGCGGGCCCAAGTGGCTTCATTCGCACACCTGTGCCTTGGCTGGAAGGCTGGAGCCCTCGGGGCTCCTCTCCCCTTCATCTCCATGGAGTCACAAACATCTCCAATGTTCTCCCTGGCAGGGAGTTGAACTTCTGTGACTGTGCAGGCTTCAAGAGCAAGGGGCAGGGAATGGAGGCTCCCAGCCTCTTCAGGCTTCCTTCTGGAAACTAGCAGTATAATTTCTCCTGTTCTGTTGTTGACACAGTCACAGATTCCACTCACAGGGAAGGGTAAGGGACAGAGATTCCACCTCATGATGGAAGTTGGGTCCAAGAACTTGCATCCACTTTTAATCTAGCAAGTTAATCTAGGGCGGTGATTCTTATACTTTAGCTTACCTCAGAATCACCTAGAGTGGCGTTAAAAGTCATTATCATTGGGTCCTGCATCTAAAATGTCTGAATCCAGAGAGCCTGTGCGGGGCTTGAACTCACAAACCATGAGATTGTGACCTGAGCCGAAGTTGGACCCTCAACCAACTGAGCCACCCAGGTGCCCCAAGAATTTATATTATTAATAAGGTCCCAGACAGGGCGCCTGGGTGGCTCCGTCAGTTAAGCGTCCAACTTCAGCTCAGGTCATGATCTCACAGTTTGTGGGTTCGAGCCCCGTGTCAGGCTCTGTGCTGACAGCTCAGAGCCTGGAGCCTGTTTCGGATTCTGTGTCTCCCTCTCTCTCTGTCTCTCCCCTGCTCACGCTCTCTCTCTCTCTCTCTCTCTCTCTCTCTCTCTCAGAAATAAATTTTAAAAAAATGTCCCAGATGCTGCTGCTGCTGCTAGTGGTGGTCTGGAAGCCACGCTCAGAGCCCCAGGAATCCATACATCAATATGACTAACAGAGAACAATCCCTTCCCACTCTGTCCCCTTTGCAATCTTCACCTGAATCCACCCCAATGTATTTCCATAGAGTGTCGTATTTTCCTACTCCTATTCTTCATGGATAGAAGTAAAGCTTATACAACACCAGACACAGTCCTTAATGGCTCAGCCAACAGGAGAGGATGTGCTCGTCACCATGAACAACTGAAGCAGGCAGGAACTATTAGACTGTACGTGTCAGATCTGAATGCCTTATGTAGCAGCATTCCATGGGCGTAAATAAGTCACTCACTGCATTTGCTATCTGCGGCTGTGTGACACATTGTTCTGAAACTTACTAGATTAAGACAACACACATTTAGTATCTCATAGTTTCATGTCAGGAAGCCAGGAACAGATAAACCGAGTGGTTCTGGCTCAGGGTCTCCATGCGGCTGCACTCGATGTCAGCCAGGGCGGCAGTCGCCTCAAGACCCAAGTAGGAGAGGCTCTGCTTCTGAGCTCATGCCCCGTCTACTGGCAGGTCTCGGAAGATCCGCTTCCAAGCTCACTCTCATGGCTGTGAGCTAAAGAGTCTTGATTCTTTGCCACACATGCTGCCTCATGACACGGCAGGTGGTTTCCTCCAGGGTGAAGAAATCCAAGAGACGGCAAGAGAGACAGAAAGAGTGCCCGAGATGGAAGCCGCAGTCTTTTTATAACCTAACATTGGGAGTGATACCTCATTTCTCTGCCCTCTTTAATTCCTAAGAAGTCAATAGTCCATAAAGGTGAAGATGACACAGGAGCAGTAATATACGCCAGGGATCGTTAGAGGACTTCTTAGCTCTGCTGTCCACAATATTAAAAGGAATCCATAGGACCCAACAAAGTGGTAAGTTGAGTACTGACTGTATCCTAAACTTACATAATCAGTCACAATCCATCTTGAAGTTACTTAGGACATACCATATCCCCTTAAAATGTGACTACATATACATATATTTTTTATTTGAGAGAGAGAGAGAGAGTGCATGAGTGGGCGAAATGGTCAGCATGAGAGAAAGAGAACCTTAAACAGGCTCCATGCTCAGTGCAGAGCCCAACATGGGGCTTGATCCCACAACTCTGGGATCATGATGTGAGTTGAAATCAAGAGTTAGACACTCAACTGACTGAGTCACGTAGGTGCCTTCAAAAGTGATTGAATATATTTTTTAATTTAAATCCAAGTTAGCTAACATATAGTGTAATAATGATTTCAGAAATAGAATTTAGTGATTCATCACTTACATATAACACCCTGTGCTTGTCCCAACAAGTGCGCTTCTTAATGGCCATCACCCACTTAGCCCACCCAACACCTCGCCAGCAACCTTCAGTTTGTTCTCTGTATTTAAGAGTCTCTTACAGTCTGTCTCCCTCTGTTTCTATCTTATTTTTTATTCCCTTCCCCTAGGTTCATCTGTGGTGTTTCTTAAATTCCACACATCAGTGAAATCATATGATATTTGTCTTTCTCTGACTTATTTCACTTGGCTTAATACAGTCTAGTTTCATCCACATTGTTGCAAATGGCAAGATTTCACTACTTTTGATTGCCGAGTAATATCCCATTGTATGTATATACCACATCTTCCTTATGCATTCATCAGTTGATGGACATTTGTGCCCTTTGCATCCTTTGGCTATTGTTGATAGCGCTGCTATAAACATCGGGGTGCATGTGCCCCTTCAAATCAGCATTTTTGTATCCCTTGGATAAATACCTAGTAGTGCAATCGCTGGATCATAGGGTAGTCCTATTTTTAACTTTTTGAGGAATCTCCATACTGTTTTCCAGAGTGACTGCACCAGTTTGCATTCTCACCAGCCGTGCAAAAGGGCTCCTCTTTCTCCTCATCCTCATCATCATCTGTAGTTGCCTGAGTTGTTGATTTTAGCCATTCTGACAGGTGTGAGGTAGCATCTCATTGTGGCTTTGATTTGTATTCCCCTGGTGATGAGTGACGTTGAGCATCGTTTCATGTGTCTGTTAGCCATCTGGATGTCTTTCTTTGTAAAAATGGCTATTTATGTCTTTTGTGATTTCTTCACTGGATTATTTGTTTTTTTTTGGGTGTTGAGTGTGATAAGTTCTTTATAGATTTCAGATACTAACCCTTCATCTGATATGTCATTTGCAAATATCTTCTCCCATTCTGTCAGCTGCCTTTTAGTTTTGCTGACTGTTTCCTTCACTGATTGCATATAATGTAAGTGCATTGCTATTTATCTTGTTCTGTGACAGCAGGATTATAAAATGATTCTCCTATAGTATGTAAAAGTATTATTAATAATTATAGAATAATAATGACAAGTTCTTATAGGCAGAAAGAGGACTAAGCCCCCATTTAGTTACAGGCTTAATGATGACACAAAGTGAGAGATTAACATTGACCAATAGCATCCAAGCGTCTAAAATTTATTTTTATAAGAGTCAACATTTTAAGTCTATTTTAAAATTATTTGCAAAATGTTGCCACTGGATTAGGAAAGTAAGTAATATTATCCTGAGTATCGCCTGGCAGGCACTATGCTGCTCTTTTAACACATGTTGCTATCTTGTTTCAGCTTTATCAAAACCCTACAACATAGGACACTGGGGCTCAGAGATTATAAATACTTTATCCATAGTGACTAAAAAGTTTTGAGTCCACATGCCCAGATTATTCCAAAACTCTTTTGTGTAAACTATGCTGCCTTGTTAGCCAGTAAGGGTTTGGTTATTTGTGTCTTTAAACTTAATATCAAAGGTAGAATTTTTATAAGCAAATCATAAGCGCATGTCAATTTCTATTTAAAAAATTTTTTAATGTTTATTTTTGAGGGAGAGAAAGAGAGAGACAAAACATGAATGGAGGAGGGGCAGAGAGAGAGAGAGAGAGAGACATATCTGAAGCAGGCTGCAGGCTCTGAGCTGGCAGCAAAGAGCCTAATGCAGGGCTCGAACTCACGAACTGAGATCATGACCTGAGCCAAAGTCAGACGCTCAACCTACTGAGCCACCAAAACACCACAGGGTATGTCGATTTCTATGTCAGGTAATTATTAACACGATAAAAATAATTAAGACAACGAACTTGGATTCCACTTATCTCAATCCAAGTTGGTTGTCTTGGTTATTTTTATTGAATTTAACTGATACCAGAGTTGATTTTCATGATATAACACTATGTGGTCATATAGGGTGGCTTGAACAAGGTTAAGAATAGTCCCCCAGTCTCAAAGGCTTGGGCTGTAATATAATCTGTCAGCACACTTAGACTAAGTCCAGTTGCTTTCCACCTTTTCCAAATTCTTTTTCTGCTTAATGGAACCATGTCTGGAAAGGTAGATCTGGAAGGCATTCTGTTTCCTGAGTACCTTTTAAGTGTTAGTCAGAATCAAACCATATTAATGCTCCATTAATCCTGAAAGTGTTTCCTCCAAATCTTTTGACTATCTAAGCTGGTTCTTTCTTCCAAATACCATGGCCAGCAGCCATAGTTTTACTATCAGTCATGTTCAAGAGACATGTATCTCAGGTTGAGCATGAATTGAATAAGTTAAGGCTCCTAGAGCCCATATCTTCAGGTTCTCTGGACCTTGAAGAGTAGATAGTTTGGAGGCAGAGGGAAAGAACATTCTAAGAACAAAGCCCAGCAACGGCAAATGCAAAAAGAACAGCCTGGGTTGTTCCATAGGGAAAGGCAACTGTTGTGCTTAGCAGAAGCATCCCTTGAGAAAGGGGTAGGGGTTGAGTCTGGAAAGGACGTTTGGGGTCAACTTGTGTACAGCTATGGAAATTGAAAATATTGTAGTTAATGGAGAACAGATCATCATTCTCTGAGAAGAGGGAAGACAATCAATCTTTTACCTTTTCATGGAAAAACAATTTTGGTGACAAGAACAGAGAACTGAAAACTTTTGACATCATGGTGGGCAGTCATTCATTTGAAACTATTTTGTCACAATGATAAAAAACTGATTACAAATCAAGTGAGGAGGGTACTTAATGGACAACTCCAGCTACAAAGCACACCATATCCAAGCAACAGACAGTAGTTAAAGCAATAAAAATTTCATTATAGAGCACTAACTTAGAATTGTCTATTTCTGAATAATTTTGAATAAAGTATACCCGGAATACATGGTGGGGTATAAAACAGACCACTATTACCAGAAGGAAGAAGAAGCTCTTGATTTGAGCTCTGTAGTCTTGATGGGCCCACAGGTCAGGCCAGAGAGCTTTCACCAGTTGGACAATGACACCCATCTGTATCAGGAAGAGGATCACAACCTTTGTGATCATAATAACAATCATAGAGTAGTTCAAGGTAATGAATTTTCTGCGGTTGAGATCTGTGTGGAACTCAAAGCATCGTTGTGGTCTTGAGGAACTTGGATTTATGCCATATTGTAAGAATAATATTGGCAAAAAAATGATGCTACCCACGGTCCAAATAACAATGCTCAAAACTACCACATGATGCTTTTGTAACTGTTGCATTTGGAGTTTCTTAAAATAGATGAGCAATCGGAATATGACAATGGCCGCATAGAAAACAAAGGTGCCGTACATATGACCATATATTATGCCGCTGACCAATCGGCAGAAAAGGGTTCCAAACTCCCAGACACCTAAGATATAATAGCTGAGGCGGAATGGAAGGCTGATCAGGAGGATTGAATGCAGGACTATGATATTGAGAATGATCGTGGTAATCACTGATCGGCTTTTCCTTCTGAGCATCATACATGACATCAATGCCATTCCAGTAGTCCCTCCGAGCAGAACCACGCCGTACAGTGTTGTCAGAATCACCCTGCATTGCTTGTCGCAGTAGCTGTGGTCTGTGTTTGAGGCATATGACCGAGTGGTCGTATGGTTGGACTCCATGTCTCCCCACAAAATGCTTCAAACACCAGAAACCCCTAAATCAAAAGTTTTGCAAAATTATAATGGATATACTAAAACTACACAGCAACTGCACTTTAATAGTCTTGGGTTTTGCAATCCCAGCTGATTATTTACAGATCTCAAGCTGTCTACCCAAAGTGGAGTCACAGACTCTACTTAACTACCCAAACATGCTGAATCAGATACAGTGAGGCTCAATCACAAAAATAAGTTTGCTTGAATATAAAATTCCCAACTGTACACACAGCTGTTCTATTCACAGATGTGTCTAAGCTCACATACCAGGACTGGGACTGCTCTGAGACATGTTAGCCCCTGGCATAAAACTTAAGGAAGGGCCAAAAACTCATTAATCAAAATAAACAACACTTTAACAGAATTTACAAAAAAAAAAAAAAAATCAAAGTTGATGCAAAAAATTCACGAGGAATAAAATAAAGGCAGAGTCAGTATATATGCAGCACACTCTCATATCGGATCTACAAGGGCCATTCCTCCTATCTTTAGGATTCAATTTGAGATAACGTAAGGAGGATCTTAAAAATTGTGTGCAATTTGTAAGAAGCAGCATTAGACAACATTTAAAAGTATTTCAAATAGGGACACCTGGCTGACTCAGTCAGTAGAGCGTGCGACTCCTGTCCTTGGGGTCGTGAGTTCCAACCCCATGCTGGCCGTGGAGTCAGCTTTGAAAAACAAATAAATAATTTATGAAATATTTTCTACAAATTGCTTTTCAGCAGGGAGCACTCTCTCCTGCACATATGCCCTAAACCCTCTCCTTCTTGCTAACCTTGAATCTTTTCCTAGACTTGTTCACCTTGAATCTTTTCCTTGTGAAAAGTTGGGGTGGGTGGGTGAGTTCTGTTTAGTTTTTATTTAAGTTTTTCAGGGGTGAAGGGGTAAGAAGGAGCGACGGCATAGCAATCTGCCATCCTGCAGGTAAGTGCCAACTCTCACTGAGTCCCTGTGGTATGTACATGAGTCACCAGGCTCCACAGAGCTCTGGCTGTAAAATGGGAAAGGGCAGACCACCTACATTAAAAGGTGACTGGAAAACTAAATGAGTTAGTGTGCCTGATATAGCTTTATAAGTATAGCAAAAAAAAAAAGAAAAGAAAAAGAAAAGAAAAAAAAAAGCACAAAAAAGTTAATGATTCTCAACATGAAGCAACAGAAGCAAAAAGATCTTTATCTCTTTCTCCTTACCCTACACCTAGGCAGATATACAATTATGTTACATTAAATTGTTGTGGCATCGGTAACTACTTAATGAATATCTCAATAAAAAATAAAAAATAATCCCTTTTGGTCTGCTAAGCTTCTGCTGAAAAAAAATTAAAAAGTAAAAATAAGTAAAAAAACTTTTTCAAACCTTTGACTGGACTCAGGCATCAACGGGTCAGACTTCCCTGTCCAGAAGTGTCAGTGCTGTTTTTCCTCATATACAGAAGCAGTGTTTGAGTTTTTGTAGCTGAGTGAGAAGGTACTCTCCAGTGAATGCCTAACTATCTTAGAATTTTTCTTCTGCTATTCCAGAATCTCCCTGTAGGGAATAAGTAAATTTTTTGCTTCCGAAACATTATACTGGACCTGGCATGCTTAATGCTATCAAATAAGATTTTATTGGAACTCAAAAACATAATTAAACCTGCACAACCTAAGCCTTATGTGCTGAAAGATGCATTGTAACGAAGTGCACATATTTAAAATATACAATGCTTCCATGTTTTGTGTGTGAAACAGAATCATTTTATATGATTTATGAACAAGTATGATACTAATTCACTTTTCAAATTTTGGCAGTCCTCGGGGCTAAGAAGACAAGACTCAAGCTTGAAATTATTTTAAAGCAGTGAAAATAAATTATTTATCAGGGCCACAGTCTAAATGGACACAGATCTCAAGGCAGCATGGCATTTGGAAAGAGGCTGAACTGCCACTTACTAGCTGCCTAATCATGGGAGAAACACTTAACCCTAAAGTTGTCTCTTCAGCTGTAAGTACTGATGGGAAGATCTGTTTTGTCAGAAGGAGGTTAAATTGTTTCTATAAAGAACCCAACAGATTCCCTGACATAGAATTGGTCATCAAAGCGCCAATGCCACTTTTCCCTCTGTAATGTACACAAAATACCTCCTAAACACAAGCTCCCATTCGTTCGTAGTTACTTCTCAGAACTGACCCACAAATATGTAAATGCACAGGGATTAAGTTCCATTGCTTTTCCCCCCCTCCTTGTGACTTTATGATACTGCCCACCCCCAATATGGTCCTTCAACAGCTTATAATTTCTAGATATTTCTTTGCTTGTTTTCTATGCAGGCAACAACCCAGACTACTTACTTGTTCTTTTTTCTTATGATTTACTTCTGGTGGAAGACTCAGGCCACCCTGGTCATGTCCTGGTAATCTACATCTACGTAAGAACTGTTTGCTCGAATCAAGACTCCACTAACAGCAACCGTCAAGAGGAATCTTGGGATAGATGGTGGATGATAAAAGCGTTTTAGACTGATGGCTTCTGAAGTCTGGAACAGTCAAGATGGAGGACCCAGATAAACCCTGGGCCACAAACGGATGTTTGTCTGTATAACTTGTGGTTAAACAGATAATAGCTCAAAAGAAAAAAATGTATTCCTGTAAGTAAAGACTTTTGTTTTTACTATTAGTGATGTTTTTGCGGAAATTTTTCTTAGTAACCTGAAAAACGTAAAGAGTTTAATTTTTTTTTAAATGTTCTTTGTTATCATTCTTATATGTTTTACAGAATGACCTCATGGAGTACTTTCTCTGAGACTTTCATATTCTCAACAGTATGCTCAAAATGTAGTTCTGTGTTTCAGTTTTTAGAGACTCCGTTCCCTCATTAACTGCATTTGTTTTTGTTTTTTGTTTTTACAAATAGTTTATTGTCAAATTAGTTTCCACATAACACCAAGTGCTCATCCCCACAAGTGCCCACCCCCCCTTCCCCCCACATCCATCAGTCCTGTTTGTTTCTCAGCAGTCAAGAGTCTCTCATGGTTTGCCTCTCTCCCTTTCCCCCACCATTTCCGCCCTTCTTCTCCCCCTTGTTCCTCCGTCAAGTTCCTCCTAATCCTCCTATACGTGCAAACATATATTTGTCCTTCTCTGCCTGACTTACTTCACTCAGCATAACACCCTCAAAGTCTATCCATGTTGCTACACATGGCCAGATTTCATTCTCTCTCATTGCCATGTAGTATTCCATGGTATAGATAAACCACATCTTCTGGATCCATTCATCCATTGATGGACACTTAGGCTCTTTCCATGTTTTGGCTATTGTGGAGAGTGCTGCTATGAACATTGGGGTCCATGTGCCCCTGTGCATCAGCACCCCTGTATCCCTTGGGTAAATTCCTAGCAGTGCTATTGCTGGGTCCTAGGGGAGTTCTATTCTTAGTTTCCTGAGGAACCTCCACACTGTTTTCCAGAGGGGCTGTACCAGTCCTCATTAACTGCATTTGGATAGATGGTTCTTTTGAAGCTCAGACCTCTGGCGATCTAACTTCCACAAGAGGACTCATTTCATTTTTCTCACAAGTCTTTCCTTTTCTTACCTCAACCTTACTGCCTAACTTCAAAGTCATCTCCAGCATGTTAAGTCCTCAGAGCATAATTTTAAGGAAGCATTGGGTCCAGAACAGGCAAAGATGCGAAGACCAACATGTCTTCTAGCTGGAACCAAACCCAACCCAAGGTCATGTTACTGCTCAGCTATAGGAATTCAAAAGGATAAAATATCACCCATACAGCATGTTCACGTTGGCCTGCATTTTGGTCACGGACAACATTCTCATTTACATTGGAAAGTGAGTGCCATCCCCATGTGCTCCTTTTGCTAGTGATCATCCAGCAGTGCTTGTGGCCACAGAGATATAAGACGGAATCTAAAGGCAATAGAGCCATATGCTTAATTATTTCAGGGAAAACAAAAAACAAGAAAACAATCCTTAGTTGAAGATAAGATTTCCAACTGTTACTATCAAAAGCAAAAGTATTCCAACTCAACTCCACTGGAAAATTTTCACCTAGAACCAATCTTTCGACCAGTTTTAAACATCTCTCCTTAAATCAAATTAATTCAAAAGTACAAAATCTAGTTTATATGCCTAGATTGATCTGGCAGGCCTCGTTTTTTCAGATAAAACGTGTTTCTAGAATGTGTAGGATAAGGGAGGTTCCCACAGAAACCATGCTATATTTAGAGGTTGCTTGTCTGCCGATTGACTAACTGGAAGGTGAGTCAGGTGTGATCAACCGTGCAGACAAAACTCAATTCAGTTATAATTTGGAGCTAGGGCCAGTTCACACTAATGACGTAAGGATTTCAAAGTATTAAAATGTATGCATATTGTATTTACGGCTCTGCGCAGTCCATATTTTTTCCCACTATACCTGGAATTCAGCTCAACTTTCCTTGGACGGTGCTCAGATTGTCACGAAAAATAACAAAACCTTCATATGAGAGCTTAGAAATCACCTAGTCCACAAGACTACAAACAACTGTCTTCATTAACAGAGGAAGCTACCACGGTTCAGAGAGTTTATAAAATCACCACAGGCTGCAAGGCCACTTGGGGAGTAGACAATGGTGACAACTACAGCCTCATTCCAAGCCCTCATACCTATAATACCACGTTGTATACCTACAATACCATGTGAACTTGAGATAATTTCTGGGAGCTCCATTAACAGTCTATGGCTTCAGGTTCCATCTTCTTCCCTATGATATCTGGAATCTTATTTTTGGAATGAGCCTCCGTGCTTAAATAAAAGTATATTTTAAAATGCTAGGAAGTTAACATTCTTCTTTAAATGCAGTTCTTTGCCCCCAAATAAACTGTTAAAGTAAGGCATTAACCTTGATGATTATCCTAAGTCAGCTTTCAAGAGTCATTCTGTCCTGTGCAGGAGCGACTCCGAAGTAGATGCTGTTGGAAATGCTGCCATCTTGCCCACTCTTCCCCCTCCAAGGAAGGTACCATCTGAGAAGGCTATTGGTGGGTAATCTCTGCTCCTGGAATGATATGGTGGGGGTCGCTGGTCATTCTGTGGTTGGTTGTTAAATCGTGACTATGAAATATCCTTAGGAAAGTAGTAACAAGATCTGCAACTGCTGATTCCCAAACCCGTTTATATTCATAAGTCATTAACCAAGACCCTGAAGTACCAGGCGTGATGCACTGTTTGGCCTCAAACACCCAGAGGCTAAACCCACCCCCGATACTGGAGGCAGCACCTGGGACTCGGACCTCTCCCAACTCCCAACCTGGGCATCTGTGTTCTTGGTCCTTCTCTTTATCTCTGTCTGTGAGTCCATGTGGGTGGCTCACTTCGTCTTGCTCTCCCCCAAGGTGCAACATAACTTGCTTCCACGGAGGCATACAAAAGTCTTGGGTGGTTGAGAGCCATGCGTATCAGTCTTCAAATATGTATAAATGTAGACTTTATCCTGACAGAGTGTTCTCTATACTTGATAAAAGGATAAATGATTTAAAGTATAGCAAGAAAGATGGAGATTAGACATTAAGGAAAAAATAAACACTTATGAAGGCCGAGATTTACACTGGCCCTTCATTAACATGCTCAGCCTTGACTTATGCCACGCCACGGGTTTGCTTTTGTGTCTCCAGCCGACCCAGGTCTTCGCACATTGTGTCCTTGTGCATCTGTGAGTTCCTCTTCCTGGTGTGCTTCTCTTACTTCCACAGGTCAGGCTGCCTCTTACCATTCAGTTCTCAGCATTGATGTACCTCTTCGAGAAAGCTGTATGTGACTGCCACAGTGCTAGGCACATTCTAGGGGACTGCCCAATGCCCTGTTTGAATCTTTTGCATATAATTTGCCACCAGATATTTTTATTGCTTAATTGTGAATTATGGGTTTATTGTCTGCCAGGATATACTACTTCCAGTATCTCCATGTACTTAGCTTTGGACCTTTAGATTGAGCAGCACCCTGACTGGCTTTTCAAAGTCTTGGTCAATGATTGTTAACAGGTATGAGAATTAAGAGATGCTGATTTGTTGACCACTTTCCTAAAGATGTAATTCACCAGATCCTACCTGGGTAGCTTCTTGTTACTTCCCAGTGCCCAGAACAGTGCCTCGCACATACACGTTGAATGAATTCAATATTTGTTAAACGTATAAGATACATGATTTTCTATGAGTGGCTGGGAAGAATCCTTTCGAAGATAATTGTCCAATCATTTTTAACTTCATTCGCACAAGATTTCTGGGACCAAGGTAGAGCGAGATAGCTGGAATTGACCTAAAAGAGGCTCTACTGAATCCAAGTAGATCATCTCACAGGAGAAGAAACTGAGACCAGGAAGGCAGCCTGAGCGGAGGCCACACAGATGCCCTATCCCTCCGCCTTTGCTGACCTGCTCTGCCACCCTACTGACCATCGTCCAGGCCACTACAACTGGAGGTTCCGCCATATCCCAAGAGTCCTGTCTCTTTTTAGGTGACTGTGTTACTTAACACTTTGGAAACATTCCAGAGCATGAAGACACTCAGCTGAGAATGAGGAAACATTATGTTCAACATACATTTTCCCAATCATCTTCTTTTTAGCTTCAGATCTCCAACTGGTGTGAGTCATCTCTCGTGCCTTGGGGTGCTCATCTAATTTGAGTATAGAAAAAGCCAGTTACCTCTTCAGAGGTTATTTACACTGTGGTTGAATTTTTCTCCTCTGCGTTTTTCTACTCCCTTATGACAGGAACATACTGTTCCCTCAGAGCAGGGAGAGGGAATTGGAGGCTGTGCTAACACAGGATAGATGCTCCTGAAGAATCAGATGCAATGCAGGTCACGAGGTAAGTTCAGCTGCTTTCTGAAGTGATAATTATCTGAGTATCTCAACATCTAGAGGTCATGCCAGTCAGGATGTGATTAACAATGTATTTGATTAATGTGTCAAGAAAGACTTGGTAAGAATGTACAGGAATAATCTTCGTCAGGTATAATGATACACAGAAATGGTGCTAGAATACACACACTGCCTGTCACTGTAGTGCTTTACAAATGAGCCTTCTAGGGGTGCCTGGGTGGCTTAGTTGGTTAAGCATCTGACCTTGGCTCAGGTCATGATCTCACAGCTCCTGAGTTCAAGCCCCACGTCAGGCTCTGTGCTAACAGTTCAGAGCCTGGACGCTGCTTCGGATTCTGTGTCTCCCTCTCTCTCTCTCTCTGCCCCTCCCCTGATCATGCTCTGTCTCTCTCTCAAAAATAAATAAACATTGGGGCGCCTGGGTGGCTCAGTCGATTGAGCATCTGACTTCAGCTCAGGTCATGATCTCACGGTTTGTGGGTTCGAGCCCCATGTCGGGCTCTGTGCTGACAACTCAGAGCCTGGAGCCTGTTTCAGATTCTATGTCTCCCTCTCTCTGATCCTCCCCTGCTCATGCTCTCTCTCTCTCTCTTTCTCTCTCAGAAATAAATAAAACATTTAAATAAATAAATAAACATTTAAAACATTTTTTAAAAAATGAGTCTTCTAGGGCAATATCTATCAAATGTTACTGTGCTTGTGAATCACCTGGAGATCTTGTTAAAATGCAGATTTTGATTTAGCAGGTCTGAGGTGGGCCCTAAGATTCTGCATTTCTAACTGGCACCCAGATGATGTCCAAGTGGCTAGTCCATGGGCCACATTTTGTGTAGCAAGATTCTATACTACGTTGTCCAATATGGTAGCCATCAGCCACATGTGGCTATTTTGATTAGGTTAAATTAAGCTTAACCATTCACTTCCTCAGTCACATTCACTAACCACATTTCAAGCGCTTAATTACAGAAGGCTCTATTGAACAGATTTACTAAAGAAAGCATGACTCATTAAATGATTCCAAGTCCCCATGGTCTCACCTCCCCTCTTTCCCAGATAGCTTCCAGCTTTTATTTGGACAATGGCAAGCACTGGTTGGATAAGCAGGTATGCTTAGAATGGGAAGAGATGGGATAGAAGAGAACCAGAGAGAAGGGTGCTTGAGGAATACGAAGAATAAAGGGATTTCAAGAAAGGTGCGCTCCACAGAGTCAAATGTTGCCGAGAGGACAAATAAGCCAAGGTTGGAAAACTGTTGACCGTGACGTTGAGGAGGAGGAAGAGGGCAGTAATTGGTGGAATATAGGGTCAGAAGGGGGTTTTGAAAGATGAAGGCTCTTTGCTATTTCAAATTTATAGAATTGGAAAATTTCAGTCTTGGGCAGTAAAGAAGATTGGCCTTGTAGATAGAGTAAAACCTTGGATTGTAACTCGTCCTGGGAGTGTTCCGCAAGACGAGCAAACATTTCTGATAAATATTAACTTGATAAACAAGCGATGTCTCGCAGTTCAGTAGTATGTGGTGCCGATTGTCACGTGATCACAACCAAGCCAATGGTCCTTGAAATTTGCTTTGATATGTAAATGCTTTGGATCATAAGCATGTTTCCGGAACGAAGTATGCTTGCAAACCAAGGTTTTACTCATATATTGGTTTTGGATTTTCGAGTCAAAATGGGTCCTGTGGGGACCTGGTTCACTCTTCACTATTCAAAGAACTCAAATAGATACCATTAGCCATTAAAGATTTCGGAGTCTCCAAGTCTGAGGCGCACCCCTCAAGACTTCACAGAATCTTCACATTTTTTGGCAAAGTAAAAAAAAATAGTGATTTTGTCTGTTTTACCAGTGACAGTGGAACCTTTTGCTCTTCACTCTTCCGTGGGCTCTAGTTGGAATGAAGAGCAATTTCACTAATCACCTTTCACTCAAAATTTCACCAGACCCTTAACGATAAACTCTTCAAGGAGAGGCCAAGCCCTAAGGGATTTGGCTGATCAAAATCTGACACCTTGGTCTGAGTGTGAAAAGCAGCTTTAATTAGGTGCACAGGGCAGCCTCTTTTTCAAAGAGAGAAGAGTTGAAATTGCGGCAATTTCCCTGTTATTAGTACATTTTAAAAAGAATACAAAAGCTTATAGGAGGTGGCGATGATCGCATCTTGCTGCCACTATAGCAGGAAAGCCCATTCAAGAAGAATGGACTCTGCACACAGCAGAGTGCAGACAAGGCTTAATTGCCCGGAGGCAGCGTAACACCTCCAACACCTTCTGGACGGCTCCAAATTGCTGACAGACTGTTGCGTCATCGCGTTATGCGGAGGTGCAGGGGAGCTGGCACAGTGCTTGATTGGACGCCTGGGGCCAGCAAGACAACGAGAGTTCAACTCGGATGAGCAACGTGCGATTTGGGGCAAGCAAGAGGATCTTCGAATCGCTTTACTTTTAAAATAGGCAGCAAATAAATTTTGCCGTCTTAAAAGGGTTTGTTTTTTTTTTTTTTTTTTAAGAGGAATCCAATGCAAAAACGGATACCTACATCAAAAGCACCTTGATTTCTTAATTTGGGCGGTGCTGCCTAGCTCAGGCTCTGAGTATCCTCAATGTTTATGGCTAGGGGCTGGTTTTCTTTTAAGGTATTAAAAAATGTCTGAGTTTCTTCTGATGCATGGATTTCAGTCATGTGGACATCAACTCAATGGGGATTTAGGGATGTCATAATTAATTTTGGGCTTAGTTATGGGCACTGGGGAGAAAGATTGAGCCAGGAGAAGATGACGCCAAGGAACTGGATGGCCTCCACCCAAGGGGTCAGCCTCATGGGGACAGCTGGGCAGTCCAATGGCAGGCTCCGAGGAAGTGACAGATTCTGGCTGGCTCAACCTGGTGTGAAGGGCAAAGAGGCAGGAGGATTCCAAGTGGTGGATGGAACCCAAATCTGGGCAGGTGGAGGTGATGAACCGGGTGGCATGCTCATCTGTGATCGGAAAGGCCCAGTGAGAACGAGTCAAAGATAAGTCAGAGCACTGAGCTTCAACCCACATGGAAGTCAGCTGGGCAACTCATTAACACGGCACCTCCTGATACCGTGTGGGTGGAGCAGAGCATCCACACCCGCAGCAAGCCACCTGGCCATCCCGATCCAATCATCCAGAGGACACCCCTAAGGATGGTGAGACAGGGCCTCATCCTTCCAGGTGTGAGAGTAGCACACCAAAGGCTTAGGGTTTGCCTCAGGGTCATATCCCTGGAAAGGAAGCTCGTGTTCTAAAGAAGAAACTCCAGCAGAGTCGTATTCTTACGGAGCGACAACAGACTGGCAGGTAGGAGCTGCCGAACTCGGGGGGGGGGGGGGGGGGGGGGCCGTCAGATGGGGTCACTGCACACGCGTGGACAAAACATCCTGCCACGCTCCCTGCCCTGATTATGGGCTGAGAGATGTGATCTTAAAAGCAGAGCTTACAGGAATAGCCAAATCCAGGATGTGGATCACACCTGGATTAGCTTCAGCAGGTGTTTGTAACCCTGGCCCCAAGTCCGAGCGCTGGTCACGAATGTCTGATTACACTACAGTGTCACTTGCCCGAGCACTGGCTGCCAGAGGGCTGGAGGAAGAGGGTCTGGCCATTTATCTCTTTTAGCCGGAGGCTGGCCCTGCTTCCCATCAAAGGTCTATTACCAGGACATTCCATTACTTCTGAGTAACTTAAATACAAAACACAGAACACAATGTTAAACAATCATATCGCAGGAATTTGTTTCTTCTTCAGAGATTGCTTGTAGAAAGAGCACGAACTTGGGCATCAGCCATCAGTCACACACACGTGTGCATGTGTGTGCACGTGCTGTGTAACAAAAGTTGTTCAGGTACAACTGCTCCTCCTTCCCTGATATAACCTCAAGGATCAGTTAGAGGTAGAAAAAGAAATTTAAATATCAATTAAGTTTCCAGGATCTGAAAGAAAGTAGAAGTCACAGTGCTTCTCTGGAGGATGAAATGGTATTTTTCTTGTTTCTCTGTGAACAAATTGATCCGGTGCCTAAGACCTTTCCTGGTCATGAAATAGGTTTCCTTTCTTAGCCTCCATTTCCATCCCAAACGAGAACTGTCATGAGCTCAAACGTTTTAGACAAGTGTCATTTTGCCTCCAAATCAGATCCCCGCCCCGTGCCCGTTTCCACCCATCCCAGGCCCAGACATGAATGTGAGTTGAGACTCAGGTCTGACCCTGACACCCGGCTCAGTACCCTTAGGATCCCCTCACTTATGAAGGAAAGAGGCCATAGTGCATCTGTGGGGACCTAGCCTAAATCAGGCCGCAGACCAGTAAGATATCCACATTCTCCGTAGCCCTTACCGCACTCTCGGCTTCAGATGGGATGGGATCTAACAACCTACTCTTGGGGCACAGGGCACATGTGGGCGGGGGCCTTACTGCAGGCTGATTACACTCCTGGACTATTCAGGAAACAATGTAAAACAAGCCCTTGTTTAGACAGTGACCTCCTTTAATCCCTAGAGAGAGTGAAGAGTAGCAACTTTAATTTTCTTTAATTTTCCCCAAGAGGGGAAAGGGGATTTGTTGGCAACTGTTGGGTTGGCGCCACGGCCACCCCTCTGGCTGGTGGACCTCTTCATACCGTTGTCTCGCCCATTTACCCCCCACGGCCTCGCCTGGGCTTCTCCTTTTATTTCCCTTGATCGTCAATTGCCCTCTGCCGTCAGACACCTGAGGCCTATCTGGTTGTCCCCCAGAGGGACCTGCTTGGTTGCAGGGGCGGCTGCAGGAACGCAAGCCTGCCTTCTCCATTCGGAGTCAAGCATCTTCAAGGCAATCAGGCCAGTTCACCTCTAATACTGTCTCACACCACATCTTAGCACGAGCTCTGTCTCTGTTCTGTACCTGGGCGTGTGTCACTACAGCCCCCCTTCTGTCATTCTGACGAGATCTCCCAAGTCCCAGGACGCCTTCGTGGCTCAGCCAGTTAAGCATCTGGCTTTGGCCCAGGTCATGAGCTCGGGGTTTGTGAGATGGAGCCCCGCGTCGGGCTCTGTGCTGACGGCTCCGAGCCTGGGGCCTGCTCTGGATTCTGGGTCTCCCTCTCTGCCCCTCCCCCACTTGTACTCCGTCTCTCTCTCTCTTTCAAAAAGAAATAAACTTTATATGTATAATATTTAATACATCAAACATTTACAAATATTACATAATATTACATATTAGTATTTATATATCTCTCTTCCAAGTCCTGCCTCTCCGCCACCCCAACGGTGCGCCCGCAGTTCGCGGGAGGGGACAGCCCAGGAAGGCGCACGTGGGCGTGAAGACGTGCCTGGCCCTGCGCCCCAGGACTTAGACAAGCAGACCCGAGCCGCAGGCCGATATCCGTGATTGGGCTAGAATCAGCTCAAATCCACCTAAGAAGTAACTCATTAATTATGATCGGTAAAGTCAGTACTGTGGTTTGCAAGGATTTGCTTTTAATTTATTTTTTAAATATTTTTATTTATTTTTGAGAGAGAGCGAGACAGAGCATGAGTGGGGGAGGGGTGGGGCGAGAGGAAGACTCAGAATCCGAAGCAGCTCCAGGCTCCGAGCTGTCAGCACAGAGCCCGACGCGGGGCTCGAACCCACGAACCGTGGGATCATGACCTGAGCCAGGTTGGATGTTTAACAGACCGAGCCAGCCAGGCGCCCCTGGGACTTGCTTTTTCATATAACCAGTGTGTCCCACTTCACAATTTAGGGTTAAAAAACCTTATATCGTTTTCAATGTTCAAACTATGACGACAAACCCCAAATACTCACGTTGTTGGAAATACTGATTTTACTCTGAAGCCTCCACCGCAGGCCATTTAGACAATCTCAAGAGGAGCTAATACTCCTGTGTCAGTCGTCCTTGGTGCTTCTCCTGCCGCCCTCTGTCCAGGGTGCCACGCCGGCTGTCCCCGTCACTGCGGGTCTCCGCGACTGCTGATTTCCGGATGCACGTGTAGGCGCGGGTGTGCGGGGCTGGCGGGGACCCAGTGCGATGAGCCTCCGGGATCGCACAGCCGCAGGGCAGGGCTCTGCTGGGCTGAGGAACCGCCGCGGACCCGGGACCAGCCCGCCTTGGAAACCGAGGGCCCTGGCGGTGCTGCTTCGCGCGCTGCTTGCAGCTGCTGCCCTGCGGCGTTTCCCGCCACCAGGTGGCGGTGTTTCACTCTCCGACCTGCGCCGTCAGGGCCGTTTCCCGGCCAGCAGATGGCGGTGTTTCACTCTCCGACCTGCGCCGTCAGGGCCGTTTCCCGGCCA